AAGCTAGAACATTTTTATTTTCCACTACTGTACCAGTAGCTTAAGAGTGAAATCAGTTCATTAACTTCTGCTGTATTTTCTTTTTTTCTCTTTTTGTTGTTATTTGCTCCTCTTTTCTATAGAGGATGGATCACAGAGTGGATTTTGCAAGGGATGGACTTTGTTATTTGTTCTGTTAATTAGTATCTCATTGTTTGCCTTCCTGTGGATTAAAATACAAAGCCTTCCAGATGCAACTTTGTCAAGTAGAAATACTCAAATTCTACAAGCGTTTCGGGCCCGGATGAAGAAACTCAGAAATACATACCAAAGTCAGGACCCCAATCTGTGGAAGAGAACCCATGTGTTCCTTGAGAAGCACCTGAATAGTTCCCACCTGCACCTGGAGCCAGCCATCTTACTGTTCACAGCTGGTCGAGAAGCTGAGAAAGCACTGAGGTGTCTTAGTGATGAGATTGCCAATGCTTTTGCATTCTCCCAGAATGCAACTACAATCAAAATTAACGGGGCAGACAAAGCCGTATTGGACAGTGATGTTGTTAAGCTGGAGGTGGATGATGAGCTCAGCTCAGGGTTCAGACAAGGCAAGAAGGTAGCAGTGGTGCATCGTTTTGAGCTGCTGCCTGCAGGCTCCACCCTGATCTTCTACAAGTACTGTGACCATGAAAATGCAGCATTTAAGGATGTGGCTCTTCTGCTGACAGTTCTCCTGGATGAGCAGTCGCTGAGAAGAAGCCTCACCTTTCAAGAAGTTGAGGAGAAGGTACGGGATTTCCTTCGGACCAAGTTCACTAGTTCTGATGATCCTGGTTCTTCTAACAGCATAGATACAGATAAGCTGAGTGGATTGTGGAGCCGTATCTCTCATCTTGTCTTGCCTGTTTGGCCTGAAAAGAGCTTCTCTATGGAGGGATGCACATAACAGGCTTTAGAGTGGCCTTTGGAAAGGAAGGAGACAGAAAATGTGGTGTGATGGCTGAACAGGGAAGAACTGTGGCTGTTGAGCTCAGACACACACAGTTTCTGTGCAAAGAAACTTCATCAGGTGGCAGGGTTGCTAGAGTAGCTGGGACTGGGACTCTGAACAGAGCCTGCAGAAGGCAAGCAAGGAACTTGCTAGTTTTTGGGAAGTTGCCTTCAGTAACTTAGGTTTGGTGTCTTGGAATTAGAAGCGTGTGCCACTGCAGAGCCACTCATCTGCTTGTGAAGTTGTCTTGTTGGCTTTGCTCTGAAGAGCCTTTTCTGCTGGCAGGTAAAGCTAGAATCATGTGTGATAAGGTAACGAGACAAACTATCACCTTCAATGGACAGTATTTACCTTTCTTGTAATACATTAGCAATGATAAAGTGACATGAATCCATATAATCATAGCATAGATGTCAGCTATCTCTGGAGACTTCTTGAAATGACAGAATTGCCTGAGAGATTTGTGACTTACAGAGAATCTTTCAGCAAGCATTTCTTCCTCAAATTTCTTCCTACTCTGACCAGTTCGGAGAGTGAGAAAAGCTGATGTACAAAATATTACCTTGATGCTGGTAGTAAATGTTAGTTAAATGATTCCTCAGCCCCTCTTTGCATCACTGCTTCAGAAGTTCTGCAACTCTTTAAATTTGGGGAGAATTGAGGAAAAACGCCTACCATGTGTGTACTAAATGTTACATCTCCTTTTCAAATAAAACCTTAGCAAGACATAATTATTTCTCACCTTAAGAAGATAATTATTTTTGCATTAAGAGAATGTATTTATTTGTGGTACCTTGTAAACTAGAAAACAAATCTTTTTTTCATGTCTGTGTATAACCTGGTGCTTGCTGCATAAGCTTTTAGTGAAGAACAGATTTGCAAGGCGTGTTTTTAAAATACATTTTTAAGAGTGCCTCCTGCCAAGAATCCCTCATACCAGACTAAAAACATGTGTCTTTCTGTTGTAAATATTTTTTGTAAAAAAGAAAAAGAAAAAAAAAAAAGTGAATTGCAGCACTTCCATTTCATTACTATTAGTGATGCTGCTGAACCATTGGTCTGCACGTATTCAGTGTTGAGTATGAAGGTATGTGTGAATACTGCTCTCAAATTAACAGGTCATTTTCTTTAACAGCTGAGAGCTTAGTGGTTCTTGGGCCCATCCTTTACTCACAAGTCCCTTGAGCTGTCATGTTGTCAAGGAGAACGTCTTGGAAATGCTGGAACATCTGGCTTCTTGTGCAAGCACAGATTCGGGGTGTAATGTGGGATTGAGCAAAATCACCTGAAGTGTATAAAAGAGTGCAGTTGGAGAGACACAGCTGTGGTTGTTTGAGCCAGTGGTGGAGTTGTGTTTACCACTGAGAGCCAGCACTGGATACCAGTTCTTATTTTAATGAGAAGAAATACAAACTGTAAAAAGACATGGAAGTGCTGCTGTTCTGTGTTTAAGAGTAGCTCAGGAAGAAAAAGGTGGCATTTACATTTTGAACATTTCACTGGACAAATGCTTCTTTTTAAAGAATAAAACAAACTGTGACTTATTTCCAAGTGTATCCTGATAGTATATCTACTTGTATGTTACTGTAAACTACTTCAGTAATCATTAAAAAATAAATCTACTTGTTTTATAAACATCATGAGATTTGCCTATTGAATGTTACATGGTCAGAATTCCTTGTTCATGTATTTAAGACTGTTCCCTTTACCTTTGACCAGATACAGATGCCTAAAATAAAACCTTCTGCAAAATTTAGGAGCTCCAAGAAACTTGAGTGGAGTGATAGCTATTGGGATGCAGATGTATGTATTTGATAGTATCTGGGCTGCTCCCCGACTGGGCACAACTCAGGAAATTGTAATAGCTCTGGATTTTCTCATGCTTGGTGTCCTTGTGCTGTTTCTCAGTTCTGATTCAAAGTTAGCATATGGTTCACTTGTTTCATTTGTCTGATATCAGTCAGATGACTGAAGGGATGATTCCATTGTTGGCCTACTTCTGGCTGCACATTCCTGTACCTCTGCTGTGCCAAGTTAGTGTGCTGTGAACAGCCTTAGGGACAGGTCTGAAATGAAAATCAGCTTGGGGGGGGGAAAAAAAAGGATAAACTCAGCAGACTGAGCCATGCCACAATGGTGGGAGATTCATGCTGTTATTACTAATGAAACACGTGTGATTCAGTTTCTTTTTCTAAAGCTGTCTCCCATGAGATGAAAGGGCTGTGTTCTACTATTTCAAGACCAAATAGGAAGGTGTCTTGAAGCTAAAGACTTAATGTTCTACTTAGTGTTGTGTCAGACAATAATTGTGGGTTTTTTTGTTAATTGCAAGAGAAGTGAGGTGTACTTCCAAATCTACAGTGTGCTGCTTAGTCTGGAAAAATAAATTAAAAGCAAAATGCTATACACAGCCCATTCTGGAGGAGTGGGAAGGGCTGGAATTAGAAGGCTTCCTACTGCTGAAGAAGTAGGTCCAGTTTGTGGCTTTGTCCTTTAAAGGCTCTTATCAAGTATCTATAGGTACTTAATGCAGATCTTAACTTCTCCTGGGCCAGAGTTGAAGAGTAGTATGTCTGTTGCTCACAGGCAGCTGATTGTTACCCTCCATGTCTTATTTCATGGCCTGCAGTAAACTGAGCCTGTTGATGTTTTTGAAACTTTGGCTTCTTCCAGAGAAATCTCATTTGTGAAGCTGCCTCTCCCTAATAGTTAACAGCAAATTAAATAGACTGTGATAGTGAAGATGTGGTTATAGACAGCGAAGAGCCTAGGCTGGAAAGGGAATGATTTATGTTATGTAGACCTAGAGTATATAAACTTCGGGTAAAATGTGATTCTAGAAGAGCAGGACCAGTCAAACCAATTTGCAAACAGCACACTTCAGAACACTTATTTTCCATAATGCTGTGAGTTGGCTTGGAAAATGGGAGTGAGGCACACAGGAACGAGAAACTTGATTTTGCTCCAGCAGGGTTCTTATCCTGGTGCAAACTGCTCCTGCTGCAAGTATACAAGTGCCAGGGAGTTGGTGACAGTGCCCTGCAGGCAGCCAGGGCATGCAGAAAGTAGAATGTGGGCCGCCTTCTGCAACTCCTGCTGTCGCCTTCGTGCACCTAGAGGAAGGCAATACCTGTTTTGCCTTGAGCAGTGCATGGTTTGAAAGGGACTTAGAGCAATGCACTGCCTCATCTGTTTTTACCTTGTCTCTCACACCCTGCTTTCAGTCGCGCTGCACTGAGCAGAGGAATTCTGAACAGTTTTTCCCCACAAATTAAGAAAAAAATCACGGATTCAATATTCTTTTTTGAAAGATGTTTGTTTAGAACTGATAATCAAATCAGCTCAAACTGGGTGCAGAAGGCAAGGTGAGCTCCCCATTAAGGTAGACTTACAAGTACTTGCTGTATAGAGCAGAGCTACACTCAATATCTATTATGTACTTGGAAAAAAAATCTGGCTTTAGAGATGCACAACAACATATGAACACTTGCCAGATTCTGTGCTAAGACCCTGTAGCCCAGCTGGAAAACTGAGAACAAATCTGAAGTGATGCGTAGTGAGCCCTTCTGTTTTCTAAGCACAAATCACACGGGGAAAATTTTTCATGCTGCTGTAAGACAAACTGCAAAATTGTATCAGTATATAGAAGGAAAAGGGGGAGGGGAAGTTTCCTGTGGTTCTCACAGCTGTCCTGTGTCCTGTTTTATTGTCAGTGCCTGACAGTTGGATTTATAATGGAGAGCCTGGAAGACCTCGTACCACATTCAACAGGTGGAAGCACCCTTCCCCAAATTCCTCTCTGGCTCTTGGGAGCCATGCCAGTCAAAGAAAGCAGGGAGGGAGGCTGGGAGGGGGGGAACTAGCAGCTCTTTTGGCTGCAATAGCCAGCTGCCCCTTTTCTAATTTTAGAAGGGGCGTGCAATAGTAGTATGGAGTGGAAAACTTTCCAAACCTCTCTCTTAAAGCTGCAATAACAAAGTTAGTGTAAGATGAGATTGTGGCTATTTAGCCCTGACTTACTGTATCCATCCACCAATTCCAGCGCCCGGGGAGTGCTCGCAGCAGTGTCTCCATTGCTTCACAGTGTAACAAGCAGTTCATCAAACTGAATTGGGATGAGAGTCTTTCCTTTTCTCCCAGCTGCAGCTGTTTGCAGGTAAACGGCCTCCTTATTTCTAATCTTGGAGAATTTCACAAGGGGACTGCATTTGTTGTGAGTTTCTCTCTTGTTTCTTTTAGCACAAGACCTGCCTGTCAGAGCTTTATGCCCATTGGTAGGGAGTTTTTAAAAAGTAATGCAAAGTTTTATGATTAAGTTCCACGGATAAAGAGGATAAATAGAAGCTGTACAGAAGCAAAAAAATGCAGTAGACAAACAATGCCTTATAATTTTGACTGGCTGGAAAATTATTTTCATGTTTGAGAAAATTCTAATGCAATTCCCCGTTTGCCTGAAAATGAAAAGGAGCCTGAAACTAGATGAACTGCTTCCAAGCAGAAATGAGAAGCTAAGTTTAAAAGCATAATTAAAAAGGTAATGCATTACAAAAGTGCTGAATAATTTAACTAGGCTGCCAAGGCAGCAATATTAATGACTGAATTTAAGCAAACACCAGGTGATGATGGAGAATGGAATAATGCAATTTCCCTTCTCTGTGATCAGGGCTCTCATATGCTGCAGTAATATCGCCCGCATTGACTGAAGTTGTCATTAGTACAAAGAGTCTTCTGCATTTAGAAGGTGCAGGTTTGTTCTTTTAGGACTTGGGAGGGAATGAGGCACTCCCTACCACTTTTTCCCATCAGAGCTGTGCCTGTCTTTTTGTCCAATTATTTTTTTCTCTTATCTGGAGAAAAACACAAAAAACATTTTCCACTGCCATCTCAAGCTTACCTCTTGTTTCAAAGGAGGTATGCTTACTCTGGAAAATACACTCTGTAATTAGACTGTGTATGTAAAGGAGCCAAATTAAGGCTCAATGGGTACCCTGTAATTGTGACATGATTAAGTTCTGAGTTGCTCAAGCTCTGCAGCTGCAATGGTCTCAGCATTCGGGCTGCTTTCCCGTGTTGTTCCCATACTGGAATTTTTATATGCAGAACATTTGCCATTCACAAGAAGAGGGGTTATGTAAAAATAGTTTAATCCTTAAGGAAAAAAAAATCTCCAGTAATTTCAGTGCTCCTTTAGGGGCTGTGGAAGATAGCACTCCACCCCCGTGCTCCCCCAAGAAATTTGGCATCTGTAATCAAGCCATCACACTAATTACTGGAAACCGGAGTCTGGCGAGGCTGCAGACAGGCCCTCAAGGAGACGTTCCCAAAATAACCAGAGGAATAATTTCTTTCTTTTTTTTTTTTTTTTCCTATTCTAATGACTTTCCTTCTTCAATGGAAATAATTCTGCTGCAGCCAGATAACATCTCAGACCTATTTGTGAAATGTGGGTTAACTGTTAAATTTGGAAACAGGGAGTTCGGCATTCGGAGCTGCTTTCATTTTGGGAGAAAAAAAAAAAAAAAAAAAGTAAAAAAAAAAAAGCGTGATTTTTATGAAGATGGTGCCCCAGTTTGGGCTGCGGCCCAAAGGAACACGGCGGCAGTTAACATGACAAAGTGCCGTTCTTGCATCAAACCCGAGGCACCGAGCCCTGCCGCTCTGCACGAACCGGCACGGAAAGAATACAAGCCGTGAGGGACGCGTTGGAAAAAAGCCCTTCGCTGCGCTGAGAGCACAGCAGCCCCGCCACAGGGCCGCCTCGCCCCGCCCGCAGCCGGGCGCCGTCTCGCCCCGGGCCAGGCGCGGCGCTGCGTGGGCTCTGCGGGCACCATGAAAGCGGCAGTGTCGAGCCGGCGCCGCCCTTGGTCCGTCTCCCGGCTCGGCCCGGGCTCCAGCCGAGACAGGAGCGGAGCCGCTCGCCGGACCTGGTGCGAGCCGGGAGCGGGACGGCCGGGCCGAGCCGCAAACGACATGGCGCCGAGGTAAGGAGCGGCGCGCCGCGATGGGACGCCGCCATCTTGGGGAGGTCGCGGCGCGCCGGTTCTCGCGAGACTTGGCGGGCGCTCCCGCCCTGCCCCGCGCCGCTGCCGCCGCCGTTCCGTGTCAGTCGTTGTCCGGTAATGGCGGAGGGCCGGCGCCGCTGAGGGAGCGCGCGTCGGCGGGCTGCGGAGCCGAGCTCGGGACGCACACTCTCTGCTTTCGCGGGATGCCCCGGGACCCGGGCGGTGGGCGGCGAGGAACCGCCGCCACCAGGTGAGCCGGGAGCGGCCCAGGCCCGGCTGCGCTGCCGGCCGCGTCCCGCTACGGGGCCGGGCGGTGCGGCGGCTGTCAGCGGGCCGGGCTCCCTTGGACATCGCTGTTTCCCTTTTTCTTACGTCGATGTGCCTGGGGCGGTGAAGGGAGGGACGGGGTAGGGTATCTGTGGCGTCGCTGGTTGTCGCTTTGCATGGGGAAACGCCAGACGCGGGTTTTCTTCCCGAGCCTCCCGCTGCCCCGTTTGCTGCTGGCAGCCCCGGCCCTGCCAGGTCCGTCGCAGCGCTCAGCGCCGTTAACCGACCGCCTCCGGCTCCGTCCCCGCTGACAGCCGCTCCGGCGAGCTGTGACCGCGTCGTGCCGTTCGGCTGGGCGTTCGGGGCTTTGTGATAATGTGACTGAGGCTTCTTGTTCTGTGGATGTGGTTTGCTGAGCTGTAAGACCCGCTGTCGGTGTCTGGCATAGTTTGGCTGCAAGCCGTATCACGGCAACCGGGCGTCTCCTAGCACATCGCGTGCCTGCCATCGAAACTGCCGCTCCGGGATAGCCCTGCCGCTGGATGCGTGCTCCTGTGCCTCGTAGCTGAAAGCACACGGCCTCACCAGCCAGCCCTGTGTTTGGTCCTTCACAGGGCTGCCGGGAGACACCTGAAAGCTGGCTCGGTAGTCCGTTGCTACCAAAAGCACAGCACAAAACTGCAGCCAACATGCGCTGCTACATTACAGGAGTTCAGATCTGCTGTCCTGCCTGGCTGTGTGGCCAGCCTGCTGTGCTCGCTGCTCCTCATCGTTCCGGTTGCTACAGCAGCTTTATTAGGTAATGCTTCAGATAATTAACTACAACCGAGGGTGTGGCCACGCTGACAGTGTTGAAGGCTTCAGTTTCTGCCTGTGACGCTACCTTAGAACAAAGGTGTGCTGCATCTGCTGGCTGCAGCAACTAAGTTTGTGCACCAGTGACACATTTCTGCAGGGGGCCGGGGTGCTGTGGGAGCTGCACAGCTGTTGGTTCAGGTCTTCTGGTACAGCCCCTAGGTGTGGCAGGTTGCTGAAAAAACAAAGTGATGTGTAACTACAAAATCACATTTGCACAAACTTATATCGCTAAGCCAGTGTGCAGCCCTGTTTTATCACTGTAACGCTGGGCAAGACTTTATGAATATAAACAATCCCAATGTGGACAGCATCTTTCAAGCCTTGGAATAATTCTGGCAGTGATTTGTGCCACCGTGATAAAAGCATCTGTCGAGAACTAAATAAGTGGATAAGAGTTATTTATAAGTTTATTTAAGAGTATTTATTAGAATTGCAACTGTAAAGAATCAACTTGTGATGGCTCAGGTATGATATGCTTTTTGGCTTTTTCTTGCACTCCTCTACCTGTTGGTTTCTGCTGGACTGGGTACTCTGTGTTTGACAACTGAGCATCAAGCTGTTGACGTGGTAATTCTCCTTGGATTTGAGTGCTCAGTTGAGACTGTAGTCCTGTGTATCTTTTAAGTTAGGCACGTGTTTGGTATGAGCTGAAGTCTAGAGTGTTAGTGCACATAGATCTGTATTTTCCAGTATTATATTCACAGCAGGTAAGCAAAACTGCCCATGGTAAGGTGAGTAAGTGTGATGTTTTGCTGATGCTTCTCTTTCCCCTCTGACCCATGCTGGCACTGACCGTGTGGCAGCTTGCTCCAGTTTGCTGAGCTGGTGGAGAACCAACAGAAAAAAAGAATGATGTTCTGCAGGGTTAGTGAGTTGACCTGGCTTAGTGAGCAATTGGACAAGCATTGCAGCTATCATAGGAGAGCAGCATCATTTGCTAGGGAGGAATATGTCTGTTCTTTCCTCAGTGCCAAGTTGCTAAATGTGCTCCATGTACCTTATAAACTCACGGTAAGAATAGGACTTCTTTTTATCAGTGCAGCAGCATTGTTTGAAACATGCTACCAAAGTACTCAGTAATGCAATTTGTGCTATTCAGTATAGGTGGTGTTAGTGAGAACCAGCGTAGCAGTGTAATTATGACGGGAGAAGTTGAGTGGAGAGAGAAAACTTTCCTAGTATCTCAGGCACGTGGCTGGATCGGAATGTCTGAATGCAGAAGTTATCTGTAGATGTAAGTGCCTGGAAAAGATACGTGTATCATTGTGCTAATGATGTAATAGGCTTTCATGGACTGCTCTATTGAGAATAAAATTACTTGTATGCGTAGCTGAGAAACCTTTCTCAATATACTGCAGAAAGAATAGAGCAAGTAGATGAAAGAATCAGTTCTATGAGGTCATTCTTACTGAATGCTGAAAGAAACTGTGTTGTAAAAACAGCCTCACCAAATGGTTATTTGTGGCAAAAAGTGTATCTGTTCCAAAAGTGTTACATTTGTTAATAGGAAAATGCATCAGGTGGAATTGTTATATCGCATCAGAAAATCCGGATTTAATGCTTTAGGCACTTGGAGCATTTAATGGGACAGCACAGTAATTTTTTAAATACAAGAGAATATTTTGTTGTTTTCTATCTAGTGCAAGAAAAAGATCTTCTCAGCAGGGTCCTGGTACCAGTCTTTGCTGGTTACTGGCCTTTCCAAGGCAGGACGTGCTAAAGGACTCAGGCTTGTTCTGCTGAATGGATTTAGTATGGGCTGCTAGAGTTGCAGTCTTCTATCATGCAGTAACTGGAGATGAAACGGGAGAACTTCTGTTACAAAGGCTGAGGAAACAAACACAGAAGTGTTGTATCTTTCTGAAATTAGAATGTGTTGCTGATTTTCTTCTCTGTGATAAATGCAAATATCTTTGTAGTCAAAGGCAGTACAGAACTCCTGAATGGATGTGCATCTCCTTAATAAATGGATGCATTGTCTGTGCCTTTGTGCTCTGATTTCTTCACGAACAATGCATCGAGTTACGTGAGCTGTCACAACATTCATCTCAGTACATTTCCTCAGAGTACCTTCTAGTATGTGATGCAGCAGAGTAAGACATTCAATGCATTTTACTTTTGGCTAAACCACTAATTCTGTTTTTAGCTCCAGCCATTGCTTTTGCATTGCTTGTGATGAAGCAGGGACACTTTTGCAAGCTGATGTGGCTTTTCACAGCAGAAGAACGTTGCAAATATCCATCCTCAGCTTATACCTGGAGAGAGGGACATTCTGTAGTGTTTCATGCAGTCATAGAATGAATGAATCATAGAATGGCTTGGGTTGGAGGGGACCTCAAGGATCATTAAGTTCCAACCCCTTTGCCACAAGCAGAGCCACCAACCTCCAGATCTGGTACCAGACCAGGCTGCCCAGGGCTCCATTCAGCCTGGTCTTCAACACCTGCAGGGGTGGAGCATCCACAGCAATCTGGGCAGCAGTTTCATTCATAGGAGATTCTTCAGTGTAGTTTGGATGCAAATTTAGTACCTGGCTGACGTCAGTGATTTCATCTTACAACTCGTGCTTCGTGTTTGTGTGTCTCAGCTGAATTTTCTGCTGTTTGATGGGGGTGGAACAGTTGATGTTATTTGTCTTCCTGGTTAACAGTTAGAGGTAGCTATGTGCACTTCACATTTTTCTTACTGCTTTTCTGTATGTGAATATGTGCTGTATCTTGATTGCCCTCTTTAACTTCTTTAGTATCCTTAAAAGCTTTTAAAATATTTTTCTAGCTTATGACAGGCCAAAAGTCACACATACATACATAGATATATAAATGAATCTTTTTGATTGATAGTTTCTATTTTCTTAACAACCAGAACATGAGATCATCTTGTATATTTACTGCTTGCATTGCAGGACTGAACAGTATTGCCTACAACATTACTCACTGAGAGCAGCTAACAGTTGTGCCTTGTTGCTTACTTTCAGCATTTTTTTGCGTTGGCCTCACATAATTACCTGTTGTCTCACACACAGCCTTACTCAGTGGGGCCCAGAGCAGTGTGGACCAGTAAACAATCTCTGAGTCATAGCAATAGCAGCTGCTTGGATGCAATAGCAGGCAGAGCTACCTGTGCAGGCACTCTTGGTGGTTGGAAGCCAGGAACTCTATCATGAGGCACAACTAAACTTCACAAGAAGAAAAACCCCCAACTTTCTTGCAGAAATCTCTTTGGGGGTGTGGAGAAAGACTGTGGGTGACGTGTATTTGTTGGTGGGTTTTTTTTGTGTGTTTTTCATGTATTTATTTTGGGCAGATGTGTATTTGTTGCACTGGAACTTGTCCCCAGTGCTGAGGAAGGTCAAGAAGTCACCTGCTTCTTCCTGCTTTGAGGGAGGAAGCTTTTTCAGCATATGTTGAGGCAAAACAAAATGCTGGTTATTCTTGTATCAAATGAACGTTAAAACAAAAGTCTTAATGTAATATGGATGTTTTGATCTCCTGTTTATTTGGAATAATGCAATGTGGTAAAAGCTCAGATTCCAGAAAACGGAGTGGATGAGTGTATTTGTATTCTGAACTCAAGCACATCATTAGAAATTGTACTGTGTGGCATTTAAGGAGTCATGGAAAGTGTTTCTGGCACCTTTAAATAGAAATTCCATCACTTTCAGCAGGCTTGCTCCCAAAACCGGTTTGTTTGACAAGGTCTGTCCGCCTGTGAGTGTCTGTTCGGGCAGTAGCACAGAGCTGTAGCTGTGCAGGCAGGAGTTCCAGCGGGTCTTAAGGATTCAGAAGCCAACTTCCAGTTCTTTGTAAGCAAAGACTTAAAACTGGAACAGTCTCCCTGTAGCCTTTCCCTGTGTCTGTTTCCCCACAGGCTCTGCCTGCGCTGCGCAGGACTGGGCACAGTGGGAGCCACTGGAGTGGGATGTGCAGCCTCTGTCAGGCCTTGGAGCCCCAGCCATGCCCTGTAGGAGCAGGGGTGGCAGTGGCTCTGCTGTCCTCAGCCCCACACGCAGCCCTTGAGGAAGCAGCTTCAAGCATTTGCCTTTGGGTAACGAATGGGGAGTGTGTTACAGGACTGGGATTTGGGCTAGATGACCTCTAAGGGTCCCTTCCAACTCTAAGGATTCTAAGACTCTATGACATTATGCCTGCATAAGGCAAGGAAAACCAAGGTGTAGAACAAGAGGAGGATGGCTCCTGCTGGTGCTGCTGCTGCTTTATGGTAGCTAAGCTGTGCCAAGTGCTGGCCCCGTGTATTCCCAGCCTGGAACAGAAGCTCCCACTTTGTGGGTTAAACAGTTAATATCAACCCTTAGAAGTCAGTATCAATCATTTGCTTCTCTCCTCCTCTTAGTGAGCCTGCATGTTTTCTGTTGTGTGACTTGATTTCCTTTGGCATCCTTGTGTTTATATAAGAAGCAAGGTCCTGAGGGATATCATTCGTCTACATACTGTGGGTGTTTTTTGTTTTTCAGTTACTGCTAATGAAAGCTGTGGTCAGTCTCTTGCTCATACTCTGCCTTCTCTGAATCCATATGATGCAGTTTCCTCTCCCATTTCCTTGTTGCAATGTTTTCTGAGTTTCTTCCTTCCTTTACTCGAGGTTGTGCTACCAAGAAAAAAATCATACTGAATACTCTTGGAAAACTGAACAACAAAACCAGTCTTCCCGTTGCTTTTCCTCCTTTTTGCCATTCATTCTTCTGTTCCATTCCTGTCCTACCTGTCTTTCCCCAGTCTCTCTCTCTCTTCTACATCCTGCTTATCTCTCTTTTCCTAGCCCTGTTTTTTGTATCTTGACATTTTTTGGAGTACCTTTGCTAAGCATATTCTACTCTTACATTGCCCTTTCCTTTCAGAAATGCTGTTCTCTTGATGTTTGACTTGTTTTGTTATCTGCTGTTCCTTTCAATGCTATCTGGTGTGTGTGATAGTAAATTCAGTGCTGGTTTCTCTTCTTTTTCTGCGTGGCAGTGTTTTTCTCTTAGTTTCCATTTCCTCGTTTGCCATGTCTTATCACACCCATAGGAACTGTCTGTGGAAGATAGTGGTGTTTTCTCCTCATTTTCTTGCAGGAGTTTGCTTTTCTTGCTAGTTTCCCCTCAATGCACTCATCAGCAGCAGTTCTGCTGCACCTTTTGGTGTGTACCTTTTTCTTTCTTGGACAAATGGGTAAAAAACGAGACGGGCACATGATGTGGTCGTGGAATGTCAGACCACGTTTGTGTCTTAGCCATCCACCCAAGGCTCGGCAAACCAGCGTTTGGTGACCTGACTGCCTGCATGGGAGCCCTCACACCACCACATCAGCTTTGCTGAATCTGCAGCCTTCCAGTTTTTTCCATGGCCTTATCCAGGCTGCAGATAACCTTTGGCATCCAGAAGTTCTTTGGAATTTGGGTTGTTGAGCTGCTGTTTATCCCCTGCTTCCTCCAGCTTGCGTGCAGAATGGGGATGGACCGTTCAGTTTTTGAAGCATTCACTTCAGAATGCAGTTTTTACAACGCGTTTATTCTTAAAATTGTTCATGGAACGTTGAGGCAATTTTTAGGTTGATGTAAGGTTGATATTTTTGAAAATTATTTACGCTTCCTTTGCATCACATTTTAGTGTAGTGTTAGTGTTTAGTGTAGTGTCAGTATTCATGTCAGTGTATTTTGGTGCCTGGCTGGTCTGTTCTTCTGCGTGTAAATCTTATAAATAGACTTGGCAACTGTATCTTGATTTGCTTTTTCTTTCTTTTCTCCCCCACTCCTGGCTGCTTTCCTCTGCTGTAACTTCTTGCAGAGAGGGGCACTGACTTAAACAAATACTTGTTTTTCAGAGGGCTCTGCTTGCTCATGTGAGCTGTAGAGATAGGAAGAAGTTATTTTAGGAATTCAGAGGTTGGTGGTAATCAGCATCATTTGTTGGTGGATCTTGAAAAGCTGCTGAATTCTTCTCATCCTTCCAAAAGAGGGGAGAGGGACACCTGAAAAGCCAACCTTTATGGTTATAAATGGCATTGCGATTGGAAACTAGAGCTTTTTTGATATTTATTTGATATTAAAATTGGGCTGTTTCAGTCTGACTTGTGATCTGCTCAGCTCAGATGCAGGGCTGCCAACCCTTCCTTGAGCGTCAGGATGAAAGATGCAACAAACAATTTCATGCTTCCTTTTTTTTCATCTGAAACTTCTTTAAAGAATGTAGGAATACATAGAGAATATTACTATACTGTGTTCTCAAGGGCATCATACAATAATCTGTATAGAGCTGTGTGTTTATAGTGAGGACAATTCTAGTCCCAGACTGAGATCCTCTGTATATATATTGGTAATTCAAAGGATAAGAGTAAATCACAAGTAATTACTTGAAGAGGGTTAATGTGTTCCCTTAAGAAATGGTTGCAAGCTCTCTTATGCTAAATGTATATACATACTGGGTGTGTTTTGTCATGTTTCTCCTTGTGCCAGAAGCCTGATAATGGTGACTTAAAGCACTGCTATCAGCTCTCAAGCTTGGTTCTTTATGGAAAATGTCCCCACTTCTGTTCACGTTTGCTTTACTATTTATCTAGCACAACAGAAGATGGTTTCTGAGGCAGAGCAGGGCAGTGCTTCCCAGCACAAATGATGTGATGCACAGAGCTGCAGGGCTGTGTGAAGGAGCTGTGCAGCACCTGTCCTAGCAGCAGAATTCTCTGACTTCACCTGGCTTGCTCTCTGTAACAAAATACTAAAATACAAAAGAAAACAGCCAGTTTCCCTTCTTTCTAGAATTTCATCCTCGTGATCAAGGTCATATTACCTGTAGCATACAATTTATTTAATTTTTATGTAATTTTTTTTTTTTTTTGGTAGATAAATTGACATGATGTGGACCAACAAGTCCAGTGAGGTGGCTCAGCAGAATCCAAGGCATAACCAAGCCAAGGATTCGACCAGAGGTATGGATTTTCTCTACTGTATTTCTTTGCTGTAAAAAGTCTTTTATCACGACTTCTTTGAAACTTTGTGGAGCTTTCATAGACAGCATTCTTCTGCCTTGATGTAGAAGCTAAGACCATGTATTATATGACTTATTTTCTGCAGAGGTAGCAGTTTCGTACTGTGATCTGCAGAGTATTTGCTGATCTGTGTTAGGAATTGCCAGCCTGTGGTGTGGCTGCCAAGATGGCACAGAGACAGCTTTTATTTATTTTTTTTTAGTGTTGTAGAAGAGGAGCAATGCAGGAACAGAAATTGGGAACTGTAGTCTCTTGAAAGAAGCATCTGATAAGCAGTTGCTCTTGCCTCCAGCTCAGTTCCAGAGTGGTGAAGAGCTGCAGACTGTTGACTAGAAGCAGTACATCACCCCTGGCAGCACTTAGGTTGTCTAGAGCTGGAGGAATCCAAGGAGCTTTTCACTGTTGTGATTAGTCTGCAATTGAAAGGGGAGGGGGGAAAAAGTATGCTATATCTCTAAGAGGAAGAAGGCTCTCATCTGGTGGAGCAGCTGAGTCACATGCTGAGCCCGTGGTTTGAGATCAGGCATATGATCCCCACTGTGACAAAACTGGACTCCAGAAATTTAAAAGTAGATATAGATGACTGTTTTATCTACAAGAGGACATTACTGTTGATGTCTCCTGTGATTAGTTCAGTTTCTTTTCAAATCATGTAAGTTATGAAACTGAGGGGTTCTGTAGACATGGAACACCATCCCTCAAAGAGCAGTCGTTTCTGTCTTACTTTCTTATCCCTCCTATTCCTTACCATTGTTTTATCTTGCCCAAAATGATATTGGCATCTTTTTTACTGTAAGGAAGAAATATATAATTTTAAAACTTCTTAATACCTACTCTTCTCCATGGTTCTGATCCACATAAAGTTTTTGAATGTTGTATGTGTAAGCAATTATATGCATATATATATATATATAATTATTATTTCTTGAAAGAAATAAGTGAACTGAAGAAGTAAATAATTTTAGAGGAAAGCACTGCTGTATCCTGCTGACCTGGGGTTTCCGTGGAGCTCGTGCTGTTTGTGTTAAAAGGCTGAAGTGGATTAGTGCCTTGTGCTTGCTCTTCATGACCATTACTCCATCTAAGATATTGTGTTGGGGTAGACAGCTGGCTTTGTTATCTTCTGTAATGTGTGGTAGATCTGGTTTCAAGTCTTGTAATGCATTCAGCATAACTTAGTGAACTCATTAAATTTGACATTAAATATTTTATTGCTCTGTTAAGATGAATCATGGCTGATAACAGCCTCTTACTGAGGGTATTTACAGGCTGGAATTGAGTCATTAAAAGAACTCGATTAGCGAGCCAATGACAATTGTTCTCAAGCAGCATTTTCTTTCATTATTTTCCATTTAATAATAAGTAACTTATTTCTTTTCTTCTGCTATACAAGATCCAACTGCAGCATGGGCTACTCCTTCTCAGACTAAGGCTGCTGTAAGTACTCGTTCTTAACTGCTTTTCAAATCAGAATAGTTTGAATGAAAATATTATTTTGCTCAGTGGTTTGCTGTTAGGTTGAAAATAGAGCAAGTGATTGTGGTGTGCGTGCATGTCCAACAGTCCTGTATTTCAGAAAATACTTTCCACAGGTAATAAAAGAAATTTTTGACACAGCAAGCTTAGCCTTGAGCACAGTACTACCTTCTGAGTCTCAAGCATGGTATTACCTTATTTCCTATCTAAGAAAATGCAGAGTTCTCTTATTTTTTAAACCTGAAAAAAGAGCTCTCCCCTGCTTTCCCAAAGGAGTCAGAAACTGGGGCTGTACATTGGTACATCATCATGGTGCTTCATCATTTTTCATCTTTGAGCACTGAAACTGCAGTCTTTCTGTGGGAACTTAACTTAGATGCTTAAGAAATTGCACTCCACTTTCTAAAAAGTGATGTCAGTGAAACCAAGTTGTGTGAGTTTGGGGGGAATTTGGCTCTTTCCTAGGCCCACATTCCTCTCTATGTGAATACCTGAGCATCAGTATAGGATTTTACACGTGGAATTCTGTATTATGCTCTCTTTTTGGTAAGAGTATTATAGAATATATTCCAAGTGGAATTAATACTTCACTGAGGCCAAGCAGTAAGGCTCTGAATGGCATGTTATTGTTAATTTATTCACAAAAGCTTACTTATGGAAACATATCTATATAACAGATCAAAATTCAGATGATCTTTTTAAACAGATCCTAATAATCTTGCATTTTCTGGTCAGAAGGCTCTCTCATTTCGTAACACAAGCATTGTAAAGTTGCTTTTGGCCTGCAGTTTTATTCTTTATGAAAATGAGGAGGAAAAATGTCACATGGGGAAAAAGCCTGTTTTTTAAGAATTGAAAACAGTATTTTAATATACATTATCTTCAAATTCTAGCTACGGCACATAGAGAACAAATTGGAAATAGCTCCCACCAGCACAGCTGTGTTTGATTCTGTCATGGATGCTAAGAAGCCCTCTGCTAGTACCAGCAGGAAAACAAACAGGAAAGGTATGTATTATTTAGGGCATAGCATGCAATGCAGGGATAAGCTACTGCAGTCTGGGAAGCCTTTATTCTTTTCCCCCGCCAACCCAATCCTGTGTGTGTCCAAGGTGTCTTCTGCTAATGATCTCTACTGATGAAAAGCTAATTGTGCAGGATAAACTAATATTTTCTTCTCTTAGCTTGGGAGTGAAAATTTGCTGACGTACACATACAGCTAGAATGAGTGACAAGGCTTGCCCATTGTTATGAGTGAGCAGTGCTTATCTCATCCTGATGGCTTGTTTTATTGGGGTTTTGATAACAGTTGTATATGCCTTTGTTTATATTGGAGTAGCTGTTTACATTTTTTAGCATTGTCAACTCTTACACCCTGATGGAATGTTAAATCTTACGCTTGCTTTATTTTAACCTTAACTTTTTTGAGCGTTCTTATAACACTCTTTTTCTTCAGCGCATGTAGCAGATTGACTTTGAGTGGCAACACAGTCAGCATACATAGGTTTCATTGTATCTAATTAATGTTTAAGCATTATTGTCTCTCTTTAAATTATAGAATTATAGAAAGGGTTGGGTTGAAAGGGACGTTAAAGATCATCTAGTTCCAGTCACCACTGTTTCAAGCACTTGCTAAGCATGCTCCTAGTTGCTGCAGTCGGACTGTAGTAAAAGAGAGGGAGAACTTTAAATGTTAATTTGGAGTGCCACTTGAACTCCCCAAAATTGTGTGCTTACTCATTCAGCCCCAAGAAATCTCTCCTTCTGGAGAGTATATAAAGTATATAAAGGGTTCTTTGGTTTCTGTTTCAGCTTCCCGGTCTTCCAGCCAAACTAAACCAGGCAAGGAGAAGTCCTCACGCAGTCCTCTTCGAGCCACAACCCTTGAAAGCAATGTGAAAAAAAGCAACCGGGTGGAATTTCGTGAACCGTTGGCTTCGTACAGGTTAAGTTGGAACAACTGGCTGCTAAAAATATACTCACATAAAAATTAAGCTAATGCTGATATTGTTTGATGGTGACTCAGAAATTTACTTCTTACCCCATCCACGAGCATCATGTGTTGTTGGACAAGTTTCTTTGTTTTTAACTTAGAAACTTATTTTTTGTCCAGAGAATGAGTTTAAAGTCAAACATGTTGAAATGGGGTCACACCATCAGATTGACTATGGCTTGATTGGTTTAAGTATTTAGTTTCTGTAATAAGGACCAAAAAGAGCATTTCCTCATGCTTTTCCAACTTTGTTTCGTTAGTTCTTAAGCACGTGTTCCCAAATGTTCTTGTTCCACACTGTGCTATCATTGAAGGAGTAAGCAAGGTCAAGAAGAAAAGTAATTTAGAGGCAGGGTAATTTAGAGGCCATAGAAGATGGTGGGGTGTGAGAAAAAAGAAAATACAGAGAAACCTGTTCTTCGTATGTGTTAATTACTGTAATGCTCCTACAAGCTACTATACTATAGGGTAAATGTGGAGCTGCTACATTAACACATCACGTCTCATCTGACAGCTGCCAGTAGTAGCTGCTTAAGCTGTGCATAGGATAGATTTATTTTATTTTATACATATATTTTTGCTGGTGAAATTATATGCTATTAAACCACTCATCTTCTATAGTTACATTGATGGGTAATGCTTACTATGCTATGTGAGAAAAATATGTGGAGAGAGAGAATTTATTGAGTACAGTGTTAAGGGTTTCTTAAATGAGCTCAGTAAACACACTTGCTGATGAAGCAAGCCAGCAAGCTTAGATGATGGAGATTCACTTCTTGAACCTCAGTAAAAATATTAAGTCAGTTAAAATACTAAGTGAGTAAAAATATTAAATACGTTTTTGTCCTGACAATATATCCACCACAAGTCTATTAAAATCCTATTCAGAGAGTGTAGAAAAGTACTTCAAATTTGGAGTAGCAAGTTCGTATGATTTCTTCAGACTTTCCTTATTGAATATATCATGGTCAAGTTTTAAAAGAAGTTACCTTTGAAGTGGAGATGAGTCATTCTTTTTAATTAATGAGCATGTTTATAGCTGATTTGGAAGGTCCTGCAGTTGCACTTCTGATGGTGACTTTTTTCTTCCTTTTATTACAGCAGGGATACACTGAGTTCTCTGCCGCATCACGGTTCTGGCCAAGTGGAAGCCAAGCAACTTCTGCCTTGTTTGGACTTCTGTGAAGCAGAAGGGAAGGCTGAAGTAATGGGCCGTGTGATACATGACAGAGATGAACAGGATCTCCACAGAAGAGATTTTGAAAGTCCGTGTTCTTCTGCTGCAGATGAGACTGTTGTTAGGTATTTAAATGATGGACCAGCAATTGATGCCTTGCAAAATGAGGCATTTCTTAAAGCTGCACCACCTCCAAGATTGGAAGAGGAAAAAACTAGCAGCTCCAGAGGAGATGAGGGTAACACTAAAGCTCCTCTGAGTAACACGTCCCAAGATGGTGATCTGAAAGTGTCTTTCCCTTCTTCCACGAGTACTGCTGCTCATAGGCTGGAAATCTTGAAACGGCAGCAGCATGATGCTAAGCTGGAGAAGCTGAAGGAGCGGATTCGTAAGCAGTGGGAGCTTTCTGAAGAGCTGGGTGGCAGAGGCCAGCACTCAGGATTTGCTGAACAGCCTGTAGTGGTCACAAATGTGGAGAATACTGTTATTCCCAAAGTCAGGAAAGTGGCAGCTGCACCTGCTGCTCCAGCATACAAAGGTATGGGGGTGCAGAATCCCTGGTAGTCGCTCGTAGCAAAGGAGCAAAGTTCAATTCTGCAAAGTATCAAAGCATGGAAATGACTAACTGTTGTGCTCAAATAGTGGGAGTGGATAGAATGATACGATCACAGATCTGGGCAAGAAATTCTCGACAACCTTTAGAAGTGTGAATTCCTTTTAAAATCTTCCTGTCTCTTCTTATGGATTACTTTTAAAAAATAATCTTGCTGTATTACTATTTGGGTTTATTTTTATGTTGTTTTGTTGTATGTTCCCAGGGGATAGCAACATGTTATTGACTGAGAAAGCCTTTTCAGTTTTTTCTTCATACTTTTCTGCGGGTTTTGGTCTGTGAGCAGACAGCATTCTGATATTTTGCTTTCTTCTGGTTTATTATTAGTAATTCAAGTAGTTTCTATTTTACTTGTCAATTTCCCATTCCTTTTGTACCCCAATTTTACATTTTACGCAATTATTTAAAACTCTTCAATTGTTTACTTCCAGGTTTTAATCCTGCGGAAGCTAAAATTCGTGCTCCAGATGGAAAGATCTGGCATGAGCAAGGATTTCACGTTGGTCGGGAGCTGTATACAGATATAGCACTCCAGTTAACAGGTGATATGCGTATTGAATTTATTAAGCAACGCAGCCTTTAGGATTTAGCACCCTTATAGATTGCTGAAGGGGAGATGGAGTGCGTCTGCTATGGAAAATCTGTTGGGATCTGCTTATTTAAAATGCATTAATTAGGTATTCTGCAGTAAAGGGGTGTGTCATCAGCTATGTGTGGTGAGGAGATGATATGGCAAGAGCTTGGTTTCATATCTGTGGCTTTATAGAACTGTCATGCTTTTACATCAGAATAATCAAAATCTTGGAGTTGTAGGAGAAATTTATGTCCCAAAGATTTGTTTGCAAGGACTTCTTTAGAGGCTTTCTGTGGTCTCTTGACAATAGGGAAGGTTCAGCTGCGTCCAGCTTTCTTTCAAAGTGCTGGAGTCCTCTGCAAGGACCCAAGAAAGAAGCAAGCTTTCTGCAGAGGCAGTTAGGATAACAGCTTGGTTTTATGAAAGTGCAGCTTCTGTTGAAAAGAAGGATACAGGTAGACCAAAAAAAAAGATATAAAAAAGCCTTCTAAAATTATCTAGATTTAGTTTTCCCTGCAATTCTGTACCTTCAGTGTTGTAAGGCTTATTAAGTCTGGGAGGAGGCACTTTGTAACTCAGCAGTGGTAAATTAGAAGAATGTTACCATTGGGCTTTATTCCATATTAGATGTAAGATCAAGTGTTGAATACTAAAAGCTTAAAAAACTGTTATTTGTTTACTTGGAGGCCTTTTGAAAAGCATTAAATACTGCTGTTGAAGAACAGAAACATGGGAGAAATTATTATTATTTTTTCTTTGTGATGAACTCAGGTAGTAGCACAGTATTTTGATGATAAAGACTGAGTGAAGATAACTGTAAAACAAATACATTGCAAATCTAAGCAGCTAAACAGTCAGAACTGTAACTGTAACACGTGCTTTATGTTTTCGTATTTATGGCTCCAGGACCCAGTCTTCATTCATTTTTTCACTCTGGAAAACTGTATTGCCATTGACAGCTCTTTTCTCTGGCTAATCTAGATTAGGATGTCCACAAAAGTGTTTTGAAGTGGTTACAGTGAAGAGCTGTAGGGTTGAATTGCTTTTGATTCGCCTAATTGGAGAAAGAGATCAAATTAATAAAAAGCATTGGAGTGGAAAATTATATCCCCCAAGAACCACTAGTTTTGACACTTAAGAGTTTGCTTATTACACATTAAAAATAACATTTTAAATTTGTCAAAACATATTTAAGGTTAGAGGGAAAGGCACTTCACTGTGTTGATAGTATAGTGGCTCATAGGGAAATGATTGGATTTCAGCTTTGGTTTGCTTATATGGCTTGAGAAGATACTAAGAAATTCTTTTGGATTCATTCAGAAAAAAAATCAGAAAGGGCAACCATTTCAACAAAATAGTTGTTCAGATATTCTGTTCAGCATTTGCTCCTGCATCGAATGCCAATATTCTGAAGATATTTTTGTCAAGGCTAGCGTTGTTTATTTTTAGTTTTGACAAGCATATGGTTTGAGTAGTTCATGAGCTCCTTACGTAAACCCAAATTTTTTGAAAAATTAGCTAGGAGATCCAATTAAAAAGGCATTTGGGTCGTGTTTTCAGTGAACTTCTGTCTACGAGGAAACAAGCTGTTGTGTTCAACCCTATTTTTGTTCTAATCCCATGAGTAGAACAGCTGTGGTGGAATGTGTCTCCTTGCTGACCTGAAAAGGTTATATTCAATAACTGATACCAAGTAATCAAATGCTGGAGCTGCGTATAATATGTACTATAAATGTATTTTTAGCCCATAGGATTATCTATCCATACGTTAACTCTGTAATGAAGTTACAGCATGGAGAGTTCTGGGTGTGTATAGTGACTTGCATTGAAACTGCTCCACGGTCCTTTGTTTCTTAAATAAGCTGTAAGATTTCTAATAACTGCAGAAGCTTTTCTCTTTTGTTCAGTGAAGTTTCTTTATGTTAGCACAGACCATGCAGAATACCTTTACATCTTCAGCAAATAGGCTAAAGGATATTGCATGCGGATCCCAGGCTTCCAATAATCCTGTCTTAGAGGTGTTCCGACTTTGCCTCACTGAACAAATTTGTTGTAATATGAATAGAGTGAGTGGGAAGCAATTGCAGTTTCCTGGTATGAGGAAAGAGCTGCCTGGCACTGAGAGTGGTGAGGAGGCTATCTTGGTTTCTGCAAGTGCAGTCACTGAGGTCTCTGATCCTTTCTGCCTTCATTTTCTATGCTTTCAGGCTCAAATACGAATGGAAAATGGGTGAGGAAAGGATACAGAGGGCAGAACAGGCCTCTTAAATTTCCATTTAGTATGACCTATTGATCTGTCTCTGATCCTCCATCAGTGAATTCAGCTGAAATTAAGTGCTGAAAAAATCAGCATCTAAGTAATAAAACTTCATCTCTATCCATGTTGAATAGGGGAACAAGCAAACAGTAGTGGCTGTAGAGATCCATAAACACAGTCTGGTTGTATCAGGATTAAGAAAAGCATCTTCAAGGCATGTAAATTAAAGTGCTTCTAGAAGTCCATGGTAGGCTGCTGGAAGCAAAGGCATGGGGCTTGCCAGTTGTTCCTGAGCAGTGCTTGTCTCTGCTTTCTACCAGGGCAGCTGGGACACCCACTCAGTGCACTTAGTGATGAAGCCACATCCAGTTTTCCTTCTCATTCAATTTACCCTAATGTAAAAGCATGGTAGAATACAAGTTTATCTTGGGGGAGTGTGACTGGCTTCTCTAAAACCTCAAACCTAATTGTGTTCTAAATGAGGGCTTAAGCAACACAGAGTAATTCTGCATCACTGGGTAAGTAAATTTTGCAGAAAGTAGGGCACACGGGTGTCCTGTCCTGCACACTTGGGCACAGAAGCAGCAAGTGGATTTTATGTCATGCATTAATGTGGAGGGAGCAGCCCTGGTATTTCAGGAGTGAAGGAACTGCGTGTTTGTGTGGAACATTAGTACTGTAAAGTGGAATGTCTGTAGTAGAAGGGAACAAAGAATTGCTTCTACCTGTCAAAATAGCATTTAAAATGGAAAGTGGACTTTGTAAAGATCTGTTACAGCTTTGCTGTGGCTTGGCTTGGCTTCTGTGTGTTTCAGTGCATAGGTAAACAATACTTGATTCAAAATCTTCATGCTGTAAGACTGTGCTTCGGAGATTCTCTTTTTTAAGGTAAATGTTATATGTTTTTTCCTGTGGGATATCACTTAACAACTCTTGCTACTTTTTTGTTATGTTTTTTTTTAGAGAATTCAACAAAGAAAGAAAAACCTGGTGAGAGAAACAAAGAGAGAAAAGCATCCAGACCGGTGCGGAAAGTTCAGAAACTGCCACAGTCGTCAAATCCAGATTCCAAACCAGGTGACCTCCCCTACTGTAGAAGGAAAACTGTTGCATGTGTTTGCTTCACAGATGAGCTTTGTTTCAGGAAATAATAAAATAAAGCTTGTAGTTTTCGGTAGCTTTGCAGATGTGCAAAAATGCAATTGTAGTGATAGTGGATGGTATTGAGGATGCGTGTGTGTTTGGTGTTTGCTTGGTTATGTATGCTTTTTTTAGTTCGGGGATATTTTTAATTTTTCACCTTTCCATTTGGAAACTGCTGATGGGTGTGTGTGTGTCAGGGGATATCCTCAAGTGTCCATCAGCCCAGTGCAGACAGAAGTGGATCCTGCTTCTGTTTCATGTGGAAACTTGTTAGTGCCTGACCTGTAGCTCAGTGAATAATGCTGGGAGTTGGAATGGAGACGATACTAAAATGCCAGCAGTTGGGTAACAGGTAGGAATGGAGCCATTGAGTTGTCCTCCTCCGTGAAGAGGCTGTTTCTGGATGGGATTTCTCCCAGTTTCTCAGTTGGGAAGCAGCTGAGCTTCTGGTTCTTTGGCTCACTGCTCTGATGCTCTTCCATGTCCTACATCAAGTTGTTGCTGTCCTGTACCTTCTGTTCTGGCTTGGCCCGTACTTGTCTTTTTCATCAATTGGAAATGCTCAAGCACGTTCCCTGGCAGGTCTTAACAAACCTTGATGTTTAAAAAGGAGTGTTTATTTCTTTTACAAAATGTGCTGTTAAGGCTAATCATCTCTTGCACCTCTTAAGGTGTTATATACAGTCACCAGTAATCAGCAAACACTTTGTAAAAGAATATCTATTAAAAAAAATAATTGGAAAAAAAATAAACTATTATAGAGGGTTTTTGAGATGAACTTGCATTTGTGCATGCTGTAAATGCAAATATTTTGCTGCGATGGTGACTGCTAATACTTAAACGCATTAAGCGTGGATTTTCTGCTTCCTATGCTGATCAATTCATCCTTAAAGAAACATTCTAAGCTAACTTAAATTCGTATCAGTCCCAAATGAGGGAGGAGTACAGGTTGCTTTGAGTTTTAATGGCATTGGGTATCCTCTGTAATGGAGTAAATGTGAGTAGAATTATGTCCTCAAATGCGTGGAAGAGACAGATCTAAGTGGCATAGCTGTGTGATCCAGCCTCCTCCAGTCATAGTAAGAAATTGCTTAACATAGCCAAGGCTATAAATAACCACAGCTCATGTTCTGTTCCATTCGCTTCTTTTAGTTCTAACAGCTGACTTGAAATGGAAGATGAGGCTTTACACTGCCTTTTTAAATGCACACAGAAGTAATTGAGAGCAGCGAGTCAGGCAGGAGAACCCCTTTGGCTGATGAATCTGTAAAAGAGGATTGTGGTGACATGTTTCAGCTGGCAGATTTGTAAAATACTTGGACAATTTACAGTACAGCAAGGAGGGGTGTTAATAAATGAACAGTGGGTTATAGACTTCTTACTGAATAGATTTGCTGCTTTTTTTTCCCTAAGCCTAGAGTGTATGAAGAAAGAAAAAGAGAGGCTGAGGACTGGCATTGCCAAAAATGGCTTTAAGACCATTTAAAAATGATTAATGATGTTTTAAGGCAGTCATAAGAAGGATGAGTTGACTAAACCTAGCATTTTAATCTAATTAATGTTAGGTAGAGATATTCCAGCACCAGTTTTTATCATTTAATGATGTGTAGGATGATAAAATAATACTAATGCCATTACGATTGCTTTGCAGATGGCATAAACTCAGTCTGTATGTGAATTAACTGTGAGCTTGGAGGGTAATGGCTTTTTTTCTTTTTTCAGTCATGGTACAGAAATGTCAACTAGAGGACAGTGAATTTGCATAAGACAACTGCTGCTCATTATTATTTTATCTCTTAACAAGACACCTACCTCAGCTCTGTTTGAAGTTCTTTCTAGGGAACAATTCATCTTCACATTAAAAAAACACAAGCCTTTCTTAGCATTTCTGTTTCAATTTTTGTTTCTGCTCTTCTTATTGAAACATTTTACATCTTCTATCTAATGTTTGCCTCTTAAGTTTTAGGCATGTGTAACCTTTTTTTTTTTTTAACCTTGTTTTGTAGGGCTCTAATGTTCTGCTGCATATATTGAGGTTTTACACCATGTTATGTGTAGGCATGAAGCACTGACAGTTGTGTGATTCAGCTGTTGAGTGTCTTCGTGGTACTTGCTGTTATGAGTGTGTGACTGCAGCTGTACCCCTTATGTAAAATTAAAGGGCAGAGTAATGATTGAAAGGTGCAAGCAATACTTCTTTTTAATGCATCAGAACATCCATCTGGTGCTTGACTTTTGTTATTTACTGTGCAGGTGGAAACTATGTAATAAGTGCATCCTCCTGGCGGGAGGGACAGAAGCTAGTCAGAAAGCTACTGGGTCCAGCTCCCAAAATAGGACACGACAGAAGAGCTGTATCTAGTGACAGAATGGGGCGAGAGCGAACTGCCAAGCCTGGTAAGTTCTTTATCACTGTACTTTCTTTCATTGTTCTTCGTTTATTATATCATTTTGCATGTCTGCAGGATTAAGTAGATGCCTGAGATGTAGCGTAGTCAGTTTCTTAATGAAATAACTTATTTTTAACTTGGAGGCAGCTACAGAGAGAATTTAATTCACTTCTGTGGTTGGGATGTATCACCTCACTTCCTATGCTATGAAGGTGCAAAGGAGCTCTGGAAAAGAGGGAAAAAGGGAAACAACAAAATCTGATCAGTTGTGTTCTGTCTTTGCCTGTTAAGGCTACTGAGGAAAGGAATGGCTGGAAGTCATCTGCGGTCAGATTAATTTTCCAGGTGTGCTGCATGTAATTTGTAAGCTGTGTTTGGGCATTTATGTTTCTACATTTATTTTAGCTCTTACAGGTAGAATATAATATCATCTCTGGGCATCGTAATTCTTCATTTTTTCTTCCACCAGCCCTTTTCAGAATGTGTCCAAATGTCGGGTTAAATAAGGGAAAGTGGTAACTGTTGTGCTGATTATGCCTCTGAGGTGGCAAGGCTGTAAGAATATAAAGGGTGTGAGCTCAGTGTAAGCAGAGGCTGCTAAATTCAGGCTGTGACACTGAATATCTGAAACATAAGCATATTTCCAGTGAGACCTGCATAGGTGACGTCACACTGGGGAATTGAAGTTGAGGTGAGTAAGCAGATGTTTTGCTGTAATGCAAAGGAAACTTCCCCAAAATACTGAATTAAAATCAGTGGAATTGTTTGGTTACACATGCTTCATGGTCATTAGAAAAAGAGGAAGGTATATTGGTTGTACCAATTCAGTTAAACTGGGACTGTCTAAAGATGTGCAGAGAAATCTTCATGTGCAGGGAAGGGGTGAGACTCTAATAAAATCCCTTCTGTTATTTTAAGCGTTGGTTGCCATTTCCACGATGATTGCATCACTTTCCACAATCTTTTATCACCTCCCTCCTCCTCACTTTCCCTGCTGCTTCAGTTAGAGTGTGTAGTTACCAAGTTTGATTTTTACCTGCAATATCTGACGAGTTGTTTTTTAACAGGTCGTATTGGAAGGACGGGTTCAGATTCTAGACTGGTTGTTACACAGAAAGCCTCTTCAAGAAGTTCTGAGCGGTCGAGGAGTAAAGTACGATCTGGGAACAATCTGAAGAAAAAGGAATCTGCTCTTCCAGGTGATACCCAAGATGATCATGCCTCTGTGAATAAGGACTTCCTGACCTTGGAGATACGTGGAATTCTTGATGACTTGCAGTTGGATTCCCTGCTTACAAAGCAGGAAAAAAATGTGGAAAAGCAGAATCCGAAGTCTGCTTTGCCTACTCAAAATACCAGGAGCCACAGTCCAACCAAAAGGAAACCAGACAAGGTAGCTGCCAGTGAGGAGCCTCAAGTGATCTCTAGGAAACGTCACTATGATACAGATGAGGTTCGTCAGTACATCATCAGGCAGCAAGAGGAAAGGAAGAAGAAACAGAATGAAGAGAAGAAAGCACAAAAAGAGGCAACGGAGCAGAAGAACAAAAGACTCCAAGAACTCTACAGAAAGCAAAAGGAGGCTTTTAAAAAAGTCAAGAGCGTGCCTCCTCCTGAACCTCCGGCAGCTAAACAGTTACAAGAAACTTACTCTAAACTGTTGTTGGAACATACATTTTTAAAAGAGCCCTCTCAGCAGCCTACAGTGCAGGAAACACAGGTATAGCTGATTCACTGACTTAAAGTGCTGCAGTTGTTTGCAGGAATAGGAGAACTCATGATCTAGGAAGGTCATGAGTTGTCCTGATCTGAGAGCTATCCGAAGCGTGCATAGAAAACAGTGTTTTTTAAGCAGAAACTACAGTGCTTTGGATTCAGAAGTAACTTTCTACTGATGGTAGCTTCTCTTTGTAGCGAGACCTCTCTGAAAGGTGAATGGGAATCATCTTTCTATTATAGTAGAAGGAAAGTTCAGAATATTTACTAACATCAACTATAATAGTTGACTTCTAAGAAAACTGTAAACCTCAATCGAATGGTGAATTGAAAGGCTTTGTCTGAAGTTGCTCTCAGCCAGTGGACAAACTTAAATCAGTAGCGAGTTTAATTAAAAGTCTGCTAATCAGAAACTGAATGTGAAATGATCAATAGTAAAAGACTAATATCAATTTGTGTTCAGTTGAACAAGTTCAATATAGGAGCAGAGTTCTTTTCCCATTACATTCTGCTGAGACAAAAGCATATATGTCCTATACTTTTAAATTTTTCCATGGTAGGAAAGATGTGATATTGCACTGAGAAAGTCAATTTTTTTTTCAGTTTTAATAAGACAAAAGCTTCTAAATTCCTACAGGTTTCTGAAAATGCATTTTTCTGGTTATTTTCATTTGTAGCCCAGACCTGGTTATCAGCCATCTGGAGAATCTGACAAAGAAAACAAGGCTCAAGAGCGTCCTCCTAGTGCATCTTCAAGTAGTGACATGTCACTGTCGGAACCTCAGCAGCAGCAGCCACTACTGAGGTAAGCCATTGTAGGCCTTCTGAGAGAGAGGAGGGTACTCTAGTGTTCTTCTCAAGGTGATGAAAATAGATTGTTCTTTATGTTCATGCCCTGTGGAGAGTAATTGTCTTTCTGGCAATTACAACATTTTCTCAAAGTAAGGGGGCAGATGATGCAGAAAAGCATACAAAAATTTTGGCTATTGGCATTTATTGAGTCTGTAATGAATGATTGGTGGATCCTGTTAATCTTTTGCTGACATCAAGGGATGTGCATTTCAAACTGGGAGGCAATGTTTTCTCCACTAGCTATTGCCAGCAGGAAAGAGATGATCTTACGAGAAAAAACAACGCCCGTATTCATTTGATTTGTTCAGTGTTTCCATTTAATCTGTTGTCGTGTTTATTCTTTTTGAAAAAGTCTGTGTCTGAAGTACCAAAAGCCTCTGTTTCAGCTTGGAACTAGACTTTCCCTATTTCCTTTCATGCCCTTTTCTCCACTTCTCATTTTTTTCATGTCTTATCTGAGTTTTTCTTATCAAAAGTTAATGTGCTTAACCAAAGTCTTAAAGGTAAGAAGCTAAAAACCAATACATTTCTTGCCTATCCTTAATTGCCTACTTGTGCATGTATCATTTTTAATTACACAATCAACATCTGCTGCTTAAATATAAGCCTCCTTCATTATATTTACTTTCCATTGGTCAAATCCACACTTTGTAAATATAATGAGGCGTTTCTTTCTTTCTTTCTTTTCCTCATAGCACCCATATAAGGGGGGTGTGACAGTTCTAGTGAAGCGTGGTCTGAGTACAACTGAATGGGAAATAACAGCGCTAAGAAATGCCACGTAAAAGGGGGGGACAAAGGAAATGTTTCCTCCCTTATAAAGTTGGGAAACTTTTAGAAAATGGTTGCTGTTGATTACGAAAACATTCAGCTCTTTACAGCTCTAAAATGCAAATTGCAGCATAAACAACATTTAAAATTTGGGAGGGGCTCTATTTTTAATAACATTCTGTAACTGTTTACTGCCCATTGTCCACCCTTCTAACTCCCCCAGGAAGTATTTATTTCCAGAAAGCAAACTTGTGTCAATGAGGCTTTCATCTAAAATAATGATACTTATTAGTCAATAATTTAAATGTTGACTTTTTGTTTCAGAAGTGACTTCGTGGAACCTTCACGGGTACAGCCGGACCGGTTGCGCCCAAGAGTCCAGCTCTCTCATCCACAAACTCTCATGGACTTGAGTGGAGGCCCTTGCTCACAACCTCGCAGTCTGGAGCAGATGGGACTTTTGTCGAAGGAATGTGATGCAGCATTAGCAGGCAGGAAGAGCCACACTGCACCCATGGGTTTGCTGAGCCTCATGGCTCAGCCGTACTTGAATTCAACTGCTGCACAGCAAAATCTTTTAAGAAAACACTCTGCTAACCAATATAAGAGTAAATTAGATCGGATTGAAGCTTTAAAAGCTACAGCTGCTTCCCTTTGTAGCAGAATTGAAATTGAAGCCAAGAAGTTGGCTGGGGCTGGTCTCAATTTTGGTACCATGTGGAAATTGGACCATGAATTTGTGCAAGAAAACCAGGATGACAGACGGTGGGCAAAGGCTGTGAGTCCTCCTGTGAGGGAGGAAAATGAAGGTGCTTTTTCAGCCAGAATTCAAAAGATGCTGGGTACCTGTGTGTCTCACACAGCCTTTGAAGACAACCTTCCTGGAGTAGGCAACCTTGGTGAGTTTAAAAAGCTCCCTGAGACAATCAGGCCTCATACTGCTGCAGTCAGCCTTGGAATGAGGTCCCCCACTGGACATTTGTCTAAGAGACTGGCTGATTCCCTGGGACGTGAAAACCAGGCGTATAGTCAGAGCAAAGCTGTAATTCCTCGAGAGTCCAGCATTGACTCCATCAGCGAAGGGCCTCTCCTGTGTGACGAAAGCCTCTCTGAGGAGGAGGGAGACCAGCACAAACAGCTGCCACTGAAGATTCTGGACACATTGAAAGAGAGAGATTTCTGTGTTCGGGAGAGGAATGCTTTTGAGCCCATAAAAGAGTTTCAGAAAGAAGCTGAGAAGTATCTGCCGCTTCAACCTCAGACAAGTGGCACGCACAGCAAGGGGTCGTGGGAAGAGCTAGCCAAGGGAAGCCCACACAGTGTCATCAACATCTTTGCAAAAAGTTACCACCTTCATGGCAAGGGTAAGGAGAAAAACAGGAAGGTTACTCGGAGGTCTTTTGAAAAACTTCTCAATTTTATGACTCCTTTCGTTTGATAATTCACAAATAAGGGGTGTGCGTTAAGATGTATTGCTTTGAGATATATCACACATTAATCTGTGTAATGGTTTCCTTTAACTTTTGAAGGATAAATGATCCCCTCCCTTTCCTCCCTTATTTTCCCCCCCCGCCTAATCGCGTAAGGAAAAAAATCCCCACTGCTGAGGGAAGAAGGGTATTGGTGTGTGTTAGTCCTCTTTCCTTTTCGTTCAGATCTTCATTTTTGAGAAGGAGCCTTTTTTGAGTTTTTATCTTGTTGTTGTTGTTGTTTTTTTTTCCTCCTTTACTATTGTTTAACTATCCCTTAACATTAAACATGGCTGCATTGAAACTTTCTGTTGATGACTCTCTAAGAGTTTGTTCTTCAAAAGTGTTTTGGCTGGAGTTTGACAGTGAAGTATCCAGTACTTTGGGAAGAGCTTGTTTTGTGTTAAAACTGCTGTGAGATACCTGTACTGTTCTTCTCCTGATGCTTCTTGTATTCAAAAGGAAACATTTTGACCTCTGCAGCTTTATTTACTCACTTGATCCACACTGTATTCAGAATTATTTTTGTCTCCAGTGTTTGATGAAAGATCAAATGGAGGATCTTCCCTTCTGCGCCCTTTACTCCCTGCCGTGAGCCCTCCAGAAAGCGTGGTTTCTTATGAGGATGACTTTGACTGTTCACCGGGAAGCAGCACTTTAACAGACAAAAAGATTGCACGTGACCTCAGGTAGGTGTGTGTTTGACTTCCTGTAAAAAACAAAATGCAGCGTTTGAGAGAATGTGGTTGATGCAAATTTTGTTTTATAATACGCTGCACACCTTTCCTGGTATGCTGTGCTGTAATCCTACTGAAATGGTCAGATATTTCTTTATGATCTTGGAGTTAACGTGGCAAGCAGCATGACCTTTAGATGCAAAGGTTAGAGTGGAATATTGCTGATCTTTGCCTGATTTTTGTTCAGCCTTGATCTGGCAGGTAGCTTCACCCTTAGTAGCCGGGTGAAAATTAGCTCTTGTGTGGCTGTTAGAATGTTAATTGGATAGTGCTTGTAAAAGTTAGGAAAGAAATGAGATTTGAGAGTGCTTCCACTACTTCGAATTAGAGCCATCTAATGTCTTAGCTGTTGAAGTTTTTAATTCCAGAATTGGTGCTTTTCAATATGAGCTGTTTTGTGGGTTATAGTCCTTTCTTGCAAACTTCTTGTACGCAATGTAACAAAGGACTTGAAATTCCACAGTTTATCACTGTCAGTCTGTTCCATTTTAGTGTTGCAAGCAGCAGTAATTCAAGCATTCAGGAAGAGCTTCCTAGTGGGAAGTCTCCCCGTGAATCTCGATCTGTCGAACTTGCATCTCAGCATTCATCTGGACCCAGATCTGCAGCATCTTCTCACTCATCTACTTCATCTAAAAAGAGAGGGAAAAAAGAACGTAAGTGCAGCACTTGACTGTAGGATATTTGTATTTTTTGAAGAAAGCTCTAGGATTTTTTTGTTGTGAAAGCCGCAGTCTTTCTGTGTACCCAGTGACAGTAATCTCACAGGGATAGGATGTTTTCCTCTAGTGGTTCTCTGCTAAATTTTCTCGACTCTTATTTTCCTCTGATGTTAAAACGCAGCTGTCCAGAACTAGATAGGCAGAGAAATTATAAAAATGGTAAACAATTGTCCCCTTCCTGAACTATCTGACAGCATTGTTTCTTCTTAGGGTTGGAGTCTTTCAATGGAAGTTCTCACCACATTCCTGTGGGAGAAGATAAAATTCAATCTGAACTGGAGTGGGGATCCCAACAAGCAAAGAAGTCCGTATCGAGTAGCAGACTTCCTAATAAAGACTATGAGCAGAACACGGATACTGACAACACAGTAGAAAATTTGTCTGGACAATCCATGTTGAGGTAACATGAACTTACAAGACTGTACGAAAATATAAGTAGCGTGGCTTATGTTATAGCAGGCTATAAAAAATGATTATATTTCTAGACATGTAAATGCAAGGTAATATAAATGTACAAATGTTAGTGAGATGAACATGCAGTAATCTTTTCCTGTATTTTAAAAATTATGGAAGCCCAAAGTTGATAGCTGTCATAAGTGAAAATGGAAAACAGATTTCTCTGTTGCCCTGCACCCCTCAAATGCTCCTGTTTTTGTAAGAAAAATTGACCAGCATAAGCTTTGTGGCTCTTTTAAGCATTGAAATACAATTTTGTTTTCCTTTCCAACAAATGCTCTGTTATGAAGAGGGGAAAAAAGTAGGTTGTCAATCTCTATCGTTATCTTGCTCTTAACAGTATGAAACAGATGTTTTTGGCTAGACTTGTGTATGCTTAATAATACTCATAAGCCTATCCAGCTCTGTGAGGTGATGCTTTTAATGAGTGAAGTGCACCTCAGGAAAGAGTATAAAGTAAGGAAAAAAATTAATAATTTTCCTGTTTGGCTGACTGTGAATGCAGCTCATTGGCTAAATGTGCAATGAGAACAGTTATGAAATACACTCAGTGTAATTTTCACTGCACGTTTTTCTAAAGAGCAACAAACAATGGTTTTATGCTCACTGTGTGCTTGTAGAATGGTTCTGAGGTATTAACTTACACTAATACTTATACTTAGTATTTGGTTTAAAAGGTCCTTTGCCCTCTTCAGGTGTGCCAAGCATGCACAGCTGAACCTCTTCCTAAGGGATTCAAGCATCTGCAGTTGGTCCTTCTTGGCATCATAAAATAGGGATAATATGTTTAAGAAGTGCCTTTTCTCTGTTTCTTTCTTGCTCTTGTTTTAATGATCATCACAGATTTTGTTGTAATTGGATCAGAATGTGTAGATACTGAGTTACTTGATTTTTTATGTATGCTGAGTACTTGAGAGAAAATACTGTGCTGTAGCAACTTCGCTCCAAATTGGGATGGAGGTGCATAACCCATTTCATGAGGTCATTTCATAAAGACAGACTGGGCCTGTGCAAACTGTAAAAGAATAGACCCTCTACATAAATCTGTTCAGTCTGTATAAATGAAAGAGCTGAGTTACTGCTTCTTTTGTTGTCTTATCAAATGACTGGAGTTAAGACAATATGGACACCTTTCTTTCTTGTTTTCTGTCAGTTTCTCAGACAGAGGAAGATCTCAGAAGACACCAACTTCTTCCCCATCTCCAAGTTCCCAAAAAATTATGCAGTTTGATTCTGTAGTCAATACAGCAGAGAGAGCCAAGTCACCTTCTGGCTTTGCTGGAAGCGCAGCATCGGGGCAGAAGTCTAACCTAGCCTTCTCTGACTTGAGTCTGGGAGCTAGTAGACCTGCAGCAGGAGTAGCCTCAGCGAGTGGTGAGTTCTCTTAAAGATGTACAAATTCAAGAGCTGTTCCATTTCTTATCATTATTTTATGATGTGGGGCACTGAAGTTCAACAGAGTCTGACAGTTAAATCCTGTCCTTCAGGATGTATGCGATTCTCCCCTGCTGCTCTTCAGCATCGTTTGTCAGCAGAATTGAACTACCTTACTGCCATTGAAGAGTCTGTGCGACAGCTTTCAGATGTGGAACGAGTACGAGGCATATCACTGGCCCAGCAGGAGAGCGTTTCTTTGGCTCAGATTCTAAAGGTAGCGGGGAAAATATTTCCCTGTTTTAGTATTGCTAATTCGATTAATTTTCTTGTAAGATTAAAAATAAAATAAAATAGGAGGAATCATGCTTTTGTCTTTCAAAAGTAGTTCCAGCAAGCGGCTGAGGCAAATAAGCTCTTGCATTTACCCTCTGAGCTTAAAAGATGTTTTTCTGATCTATAGGCACAACAGCAGCGTCATGAATGGGACGTAACTCTCTTGAAAATGAAGGCTGAACAGGAAGCTTTAAAAAATAAGAGACAACTGGAAGAGGCAAGGCAGAAGGCAGCTCAGGTAACGCTGCTCTCAAAAACTGTGGATTGTGTAAGAGCAAGGTGTTGTAAGTAAATCTGTGCCTATGAATGCTCTTAATCTGAAGCTGTGGTGAAGGGATTTAATATAATTGGGGGAAAAACAAACAAACAAAAATCTTCTGGTGTCAATTTCAAACTTTTTTTCCCAGGCTTATAGAAATGCTATGTTATACTATTGACAGTACTATATGGTCATACTTATTATATATAGAAAATTTTGAAGGGCTGATTTTTTTGCACAGGCCCAAGCAGAGACACTGCATCATCTGGTCCAATCACGACAGGGGGCCGCAGAAGTGCTTCAGGAGACCAGGTGCAAGGCTGCAGCCAAGCAGGTGGAAACTGCACTTTTCACTACAGATACGGGCCACCAGGTCCGTGAGGTGAGATCCTGAGTGAAATAAAAAGCTGTTTTAATTTCACTATTGCTTCAAATACTGCCTCTAGATTATGCTCTGCATACAGTTTCTTCATGTTCCTAACATGCCAAATAACAGAACTTCAAAGGAGCAGTTCTAGCATCACTACTTAGAAGTTGGTTAGCAGTTCTAAATCCCATGCTTCTCATGGTCTTCCCATTAATTAACTATGCAAAATTTTGGATGGTGATTGTGAGCATAGCATCTCTAATTTGTAAGCGTTGTAGCCCACTGGATTGAATCTGTATCTATTCCATACAGAAATCACACTAGAAAAGCAGGGGAATTTGTGGGCTCATTTAAACATGGAAGTTTGTACGATGTTGGAATTTAAACCTGTTGCTTCCATTGCAGTGAAAATAATATTTTTACTCTTTGAGTAGGATGCATTTTCTAATGGAAATTCAATGTTCTGGGTTTTTTTCATGCTTTTAAAAACTAATGTAATAATAGGTCCAAAACGTTCTGTCGCTTGGAGATCATTCTAGTGATCAGATGTTAAGTTGATTAGAATACAACATAGGTGATGTAATGCATGTCTGTAGCTTTACATTAATAATTCCGCTCCCTGCAAGTTAAATAATATATGTGTATGTACAGAGCATCTCTGAAAACCAGAATTGAGATGTGTGTAATACAAACATCTCAAAACAGTCTTATGCATTCATTCAGTATAAATTGCCTGCGAGAAGGACAATTTTTTCAAAAACATGTTGATAGTTAAAAGCTCATTGTGTTCCTTTGTTGGTTGTACTCAGATGATGGAGCTGGCACGAACCCAGATCTCAGATACTGTCAGTGCTCCAGCTGCTCCAGTCACCACTTTGTTTGACCACCAGCGGCAGCATCACTCAGAGTTCATGAAACAACTGAGAGGCCGACCTGATACAAACAGGTTTTGTCAAATGTTTCATAACTTGGGAGGGGGGGGTTGTAAGATTTGTTAGTTTTTGCTTCACATACTTTCAAAGAAAAGTGTAGTATTTCATAGTAAGTGAACATTTAAGAGGAACTTGGATTTCAACTCTGTGTCCTTTATAGTGTAACTCAAAGGACAGATACTGATTTTTTTTTTTGCAGCTTTTTATAAAAGAGTAAGAAAAGATGCACTGGGTGTTTTGTGGGATTATTTCACTTATCTAGGTTAGAAGTGTTTTCTTTATGAATTTTAACTATTACTTCTTTTACTAAACTGATATAATCTTACGGAATCTATATCAGTATTTAAGACAATGTAGATTTAGCTCAAATGCTTTCTCTTTTCAGGAAATGTGAGACCGCTACCATGTCACAAAGTAAAGAGGCAGGTGACTCAAAACAGACTTACTCACTAGCATTTGATAGTTATTCAGAGTCCTCGAGATCAAAGGTTCACGATCGGAGGTAAGAAAAGATTAGGATTGGGTTTTTTTCTGTTTACCTGCTGTAAATAAGAGCTACGTTTTGAAAATGCTTGCAAAGTAATTTTGAGACATGTTGTTCCACTGTTTTCTTTTGAAAGAGAGAAAGTGGGTATTAAACCTTAACATTGCTGGGATGTTATTCACTGATGTAATGTAAAATGAATATTTTTAAATGTGCAAAGTAGGATCTTAATTTAAAAGGTATATTTTTTGATGAAACAGTAGTACCAGCAGTCGCCAAGAGAGTCCTTCTGTTCCGTCTTCTAAAGAGAATGAGAAAAAACTTCCCCATCGTGAAAAGATAACCAGCAGCATTGAGGAGCAGGCTCATACTGGTGCGGACGATTCCTTGCCTAGTGATAGTATTTTATCACTGCCAGATGAAAAAGGTTAGCTGTACTTGTATGTACTGAACCAGACAGTGGTAAGGGGGGAGGCAGGTGCTGCTTCAAAACTGGTTTCTGAAATAAATGAGGGAAAATGTGTGAAGTTTGAGTCCCGGGTGAATTGATAATCTCTTAAGCAAAAGATGGCGTAGTGAGATTGGAATATTTTGCATGTTACAGTGATGGAGTCTTCTCTACTTTTTGCTGTGGTAACTGTAGCTAGCCAGATGTTTACTGGCTAAATGTGTAGGCTGAACACCAGATGTTTTGGTAGACGTAAAATGTATTTATACCTGTATGCAGAATTCTGTTAGTTTTTTTTTTTAAGCTAGATAACAGTACTGCAAGATGTCCTCTAACTCAAGGTCACTTTTCTGAAAGCTAAGACCTTTTCTTGCATTAGAAGAGTCCTCTCCCTGTCTTTCCTTGTCTTTGTGGCTTTACTGAGTTGAGACAGGGTAAAATGACCTGCACGGTACATACTTGAGCATTAACCCACTTCCCTCAGATTCTGCTTCCATTGCAACTGAGTATTCCCTGAAATTTGATGAGTCTATGACAGAGGATGAGATTGAAGAGAAATCTTTTCGGTCTTTGCTGCCCTCTGAAAGTCATCGTAGAATTAACTTGGAGAAGAAGCGCGGTAATCGCGATGATTCTGATGAGGAAGTCTCCCCAGAAAAAACTGCTCTGTCATCTATCAAGGTATGTCAAGTGACCACAGTTAAGGTAGATTAACTGTTACTGTTCAATTATGCTCATGAATTTGTTGAGCTTTTCTGTGTTGCTCGTGCTTACAAGCTTTGGTTGTTTGAGCATTTGAAAACATCAGAGTTGTATGAACGTCCTTTTTGTCACTGTTGTGCAAGCAAGGTGACTTGTTCTGTGGAACAGTCCTTACTGGCCTCAACCTTTTCTCCTGTGGCTTTAGAGAAGAGTGATGTTTTGAGGTAGATTATAAAAACCCAGTGGATATATTCTTCCCAATACTCATATCCAGGAGATAAAAGCAGATGCTGCTTCTTATTCTCATGAGGAGACATCCCAAGAGTGTCACAAAACACAGGGCAGAAAAAGCTGCTCTTGCAGTAGCTCAGAGAGAAAAAACATATTCCCTTCTTACGCTGAACCACATGCATACACACAGTTTGTACTTGAAAAAAGCTTTGAAATTTATTAACAAACTATGCTAAATTTGCCTTGCCTTACAGGAGCTAAGCATGCCTTTCTCAGGAGGACAAGATAGTTTCTCTAAATTTACTATGGAGATGGTAAGACAGTACATGAAGGAGGAGGAGGTGCGAGCAGCTCATCAGTCCTCGCTACTTCGGCTCCGGGAGAAGGCTCTGAAAGAGAAGACAAAGGCTGAGTTAGCTTGGTTGGAGCACCAGAGGAAGTAAGACGATGTTGAATATACACTCTTGCTAACTGCTCATTTTCTTATGAAAATCTCCTACTTACATTGTTTTGTAATACCCCACTCCTTTGTGATTAAGTACCAGTGGTTGAACAAATCTTCTGATTTCTGTAATCTATGCAGATGTTATTTTGTGGGTTTTTTCTTTCCTTTTTTCCTTATTTAATCATCTCTTGCAATCTGTTTGCAGGCATTTGCGAGACAAGGGAGAGGATGACAAGATGCCCCCTATTCGAAAGAGGCAGCGTGGTCTTCTGCTGAGACTACAGCAGGAAAAGGTAACTGATGCTTTGTAGGAAAATCCTATAGAAACTTCTTTGATGCTTTGGACACTGTAGAAGTTAAGAACTGATGGCTCTGTGCCAGGCTTTTGGATAGAAAAACAGCATTATTTCTCACCATATAATAATTCATCTTTTGATGGTATATAGCATGTTGTTTTAAAAGGTTCTTCTATATCAGTAATCTCGTGGATTGAGACCTGAGTGTATTAATTGATTGTCTGTTCTCTGGTGCCAAAATTGCAGGCGAAGTACTTCATCACAGTTTTGCTAACTTTAATCTCGTATTGTGGACACTGAGAGTTTCAGAGTGTGTTGGAGAGCTGTCTGTCAAACTTACTTTGCTTAATCTTTTATACCTAAAAGGCAGAAATTAAGCGTCTTCAAGAGGCCAACAAGGCTGCTCGGAAGGAGAGACAGCTAATCCTTAAACAGCAGGCAGAAATAGAACGAATCCGTCAGACTACAATGAAACTGCAGGAAAAATTGAAATCTGCAGGAGAAAACAAGCTTGTAAGTGTTCTGTACAGAAGTTGGAATCTTCACCTCTTTGTGCTGCTGGTATTTGACTCAACTACTAGCTTAAAAGCTATTGGATTACACCTGTCACTTGAGAAATTTATCTGCTCAAATTGTCTTACCCTGTATATTTCAGCAATTTTGTTTGTTTAATTTCTTCAAATCGTTTGAGGAAATGCATACGGAAAAGTATTAGAAAATGTTTTAACTGGACAGTAGACAAGAAAGAAAGTGACAGACTCCTTAGCATGGTCTGTTTTGACAGGACAAGGGGAAATGGGGACTAAAACTAAAAGGGGAGATTTAGATTGGATGTAAAGAAGAAGTTTATTATAATAAAGGTGGTGAGGCACTGGCACAGACTGCCCAAAGAGGTGGTGGTGCCCCGTCCCTGCAGAAAGCCAAGATCAGGCTGGACAGGGCTCTGAACACTGATGGAGCCATGGGTGTCCATGTTCACTGCAGGGGAGTTAGACTAGATGGCCTTCAAGAGGCCATTCCAACTCAAACAATTCTGTGACTCTGTGGTGATGATTAATTCTCAAGCTTAAGTAATGACTTTGGGAATATCAGCTTTTGGATGTTTGAATATCTTGGACTCTGATTCTATTAATCTGATTCTGTTTATCCGATAATAGAACTAAAACGTAAGCTCCAAAACCTAAGCTTGCTGGTTTTTGTGTTTCAGTGTTATTAAACAAAGTTTCTCGCATCTTCAGTGCTGGAACAGGTTGCCCAGATAAGCTGTGGATGCCCCCTCCCTGGAGGCATTAAAGGAGAGTCTGGATGGGGCTGTGAGCAGCCTGGTCTGGTGGGAGGTGTCCCTGCCTACAGCAGGGCCTTAGAGCTAGTTGATGTTACAGGTTCCTTCCAACCCAAACTGTTCTGTGATTCTGTGATCAAGACAGGTTTGGTAACCAGCTGAATCCTTACGAAATTCTGGAAATGCAAATGTAATAATAATGAGAGGACTTGTTTCCTTAACTGAACTCTAGTAGGATTTTTTGTTCTAGTTACAGTCAAGGGAGAACTGAAATTGTGGTGGGAAAAAGGATACAAAAAATGATGTCTAATGAGAAGAAGTTGGAGGATAAAGCTAAAATATGTAGGCGGCCAGGCTTAACCTGAAGTATTATTTGATGTAATCTGAGGATAAGTAAGATGAGTTAACACAGTTCAATAATAAATTCTAAAAAAAGGATAACTTTTCATGCTTTTAATGTTGTTGTTTTTTTTAACATATATTTGCAGGAACTTCACAGTGAGGATGACGTCAAGCAGAGCAATGGTTCTAGCCTACTTCTAACTGATGCAGAAACACGCAGCCCTTCTCCAATATCTATCTCCAGCAGTGAGACCAGTAGCATCATGCAGAAACTTAAAAAGATGCGCAGCAGAATGGATGAGAAGTAACTAAATTTTCTTTTCTATTACAAAGCTTTGCTATTTTAATGAAAACAAATTGGTTCAGACAGTATCTGCACTGAAAACGGTTATCAGACAGACTACAGTGATACTGAGATCATATGCAGTGATGTCTTTTCAGAATCAGCCTGAAAAAGAACTAATTATAAGCATTGATAGAGCTATATTAATCTTTGAAGAGAATATTTCATAGGATATGTTTTTTTCCTTGAGTACAGAAATGCAAGTCAGTAAAAGCATATCAGTTTAAGAGATTGTGATATCTGTACTTGGCAGGAAAATTGATTGCTTTGAGCTTAACAGTGTGTCTTGTCAGACTTCTTAGAATGAAATACCTTAAGGCAAATGATCAAAGTGATGCCTGTATCTTGTATTTCTGCTTTTCCCTTTTATATATCTGGTTCATGGAAGGTCAGGGAGCTTGTGTGTGACTGAGAAGACAGTAAGACCTTTTATTTTTCTTACATCATCCACAGGTTGGGAAAAAAACAGCTGAAAACAGCTGTTAGTCTTCAGAGGAAATAATCAAGTATATGTGGAGTTGCTGGGTCTGGAAACTAAGACTGAATCTGTTGATTTCACCTGTTGAATTGTTCTGTATCAAATAAGTTGTTTCTCTTCAGTGCAGGAATTACTTTGCTTTAAGCATTTCAAATATTTTAGCAGTATGTTCTCATTAGTTTGAAGTCCTACGTTCTTATTTGAGACTAACCCATTCAAAATCTGACTTGTGCCAGTTAACCCCACATAATAGTCTCTGCTTAAACATTTTTTCTGAATTTTGAACCAAGGTAGCTTGCCTCATTTTTGTTTGTGTGGTGATCTTTGTAATGTCCTTTCTTTGAAACTCATAGCAGTTAGAGCAAATATCAAAAAAGCAAGCACTGCCTTTTGTAAAGGCAAGCTGTCTGTGGCTCCTTAGCATCCTGCTTGTGATCGTTTGGGAAGGACATTTCCTATATCTGCATGCATTTGTGTATGCTGAAGATTAAACAGCCCAAAGCATCAAAACAGTGAGAGAGGATTGGTGTAAGTAGTGGGGGAAGGAAGAACAAATCCACATTCTGTTTGAATAGTCTCCGTGTTCAAGCCTGAAAATTGGATGCTTTGTTATTCAGACCCTTCTGACAGGAACTAGTGAACTGAAAAGACAAAATCACAAATGATAATCCAAGTTTCTGAAAGACTGTATTTCTAAAACTTAACTCCTAGCATTCCAAGCTGTGTGGAAAACCTCACTTTCATAACAACAAACTTTCCCTAAGTATGTGTTGAGGTTGGTAAATTGCATAAGAGGGGAATCAGAAATAGGCTCAGAAGAAAGATCTTGGAAACCTGCATGGAGGTGGCCTGCAAACAAAACAAGTTCTTTGTCTTCTTTTTCCCTCAGTTTCAACATACAAAGTTTAGAATGGTGATATTGTGTTACAAAACTGAATCACAGCTTAAGAATTTGGGTATTATATTAGTGCTAATGTTAATACATTATGTTAATGTAAAAGATTACAAATGTGTTTGTGTTTATGTCTTCCTTTGCCACTTTTTTTCAGGTAGCCTTTTTAGTCAATATTGTTTCTGAAATGTTTGCTTTATTCCTAAGCAACGGTAAAGATTGCATGTTAGTAAATGAATCTCTATAGTACAACAAAGGACAGTAACAGATGCAAAGTGTGTTTTATCCTTGAGAATATTTTAATTGCAAGTCCAAAATGTTTGTCATCTGGGGTATATGTTTCAAAAGGGTAGGCATCAGGATTTCAGCTGCAGTAATTACTGTGAGGAGCATCAAGTGGAAGTTGTACTTGTGTGTGATGCAGTGTATGTGGCCGTGCATTTTTGATTTTATAGTTTTGTCAGATTGCTCTACACGTTCAAAGTATTTTGTGTAAACATAAATAATTCTCTAGAACTTCAGTCTTCTTGACTGTATACACATCTTGCAGGTTTTCCTGATAGTGGTAGCTGTGCTTATTGACTGAAAAACAGTGCCAACTTAGTACCTAATTTTTACATCCTTGTTTATAAAATACCTAAGAATAACATTAACATAATATTTACTTAGAGTATATTTAGGGAACTGTCTGCTTGAAAAACGAGTTGTGTGATCCTGCAAATGGGAAGAAACTGAATGAGTAAAATATAACAGAGCTAGAGAAACACTTTATCTGTGAGACAGCTTTAATATCTCTTCTGTTAAAAGGACAATGAAAGAGTTGTTCTGTTTTAATTATAACTCATGAATCTGCATAGCCTGCATGTGAACAGGAGCATGCTCTGTCAAAGAGAATTAACCCTTCTGCCCATGCTTGCCTTGCATATGCAGCTTTAATGATAATTCGTACAGCAGAAGAACTAACTAAATGCTCATTTGCTTTTGCTTTCTTTAGTATGCTTCTTACCCTGCTTTGTAGTTGCTACAGAGCTGTGCAGAGCATGATATTTTGCTATAAATATGATAATATGCTAGGAATTAGCTTAAAACAGTCTTCCATTGGAAAGTAACATTTCAGTCACGGTGTTAAGTTTATGTAGTTTAAAAAAATACACAGGCATTATCTTTCTGCAGAAATGAAAGTGAGTATTCTGAGACCAAGTCTGTGCCTTACTGCAAAATCCAAGAGCAGCTGGAAGTTGAATACAGATATATTTCAGACTTTTTCTGGATTTGCTTGAGTTTCTTTAAATAAATTCATCCTTTTTTAAGTTTCAGACTGGCAAAGCTGTCTATATTACAGAAGCAGCACTCTGTTTAATGCTAGCAGTATTCTCTATTAAGGATTAGAATAGCAGAAGTCACAAGAAGCTGAGGTTGAGATGTTAGCAGGTGCATGTGTAAGTTTGTATCAGAGTAATAAAACTTCAAAAAGTTAAAGAAAAACAGAGCAATGTGAAAGTAGCATGCCTTTAACTAACAGAAAATGAAGTGTTATAACTTATGCACAAGTGTATGTTTTCTTATTACCTTCTGCATAACAATGTACAATTTTTCTACCCAAGGTGTTAGGTTAAATGCAATTAATTTTAAAGTTCTTTGCTAGATGCTGTCCTTTTCTCATTCTTTCTGCCTTTTTTTTTTGCTTAGTTTTAAACTCTTCCTCCTTATTTTGTAGACACTGCTCTCCTGTTCACTACTTCTTCTCTGTCTTTACGTCTCACCACTGGGCCTCTCTCAGTGTCTGTTTTCCCAACCTCCACCCCAAATTCCAGCTGTATATCTACAACCAATTGGTCAGGTAACTGTACCTTTCTCAAGTGATAGACTCTTTGATAGAGCATGCTCTGTTCAGTCCTAAAAAATCAAGAGGTGGTTCTTCACTGAACAGTTTTGACACTTTTTCCACACTGATTCCAGATTAATCTCTTGTTTCCACTGTGTTCTGAGTAGCACACAGACAGTTCACTTTGCTGTCCAGTTGCTACTTCAGAACAGCTGATGAAACTGTCTAGTTTGGCTTTAAAATCTGTGTGTATTAGATATAAATACAGTTCAAGTATAGGGCAAAACTTCCAAGTTGTTATTTTTGTTATAGGCAGACCTAATGTGTGACTTTAGCACCAGACAAATAGTTAAGACTTTGAAAATTACGATGATGTAATCTGAGTGCTTCTGCTTCCCCTTTGCTCCTGTAGATTTCCTGCCTTGAAGATACCAGATGTGGTTCATGCTTTTCTAATATTTTCCTCCCTGTGAAATTGCCCCTGCTGTGGAGGATGAACGTGTGCCCTTGGTGTTGCAACTGGAACCCTCTAGACTGTAGCAAATGCTAAGGCAGTATGCATGCTACCTTGTGGTGGTTCTGACCTTTTAAACCCCTGGGTTATAAAAGGGTCTTTAGCTATGCTCATTTAATCGTCTTCTTCCTAAAGCACGAGTGTTTGAGCCTTCTTTCCCTCTCGTTAGTGCTCTTTTTGACCAACTTGTAGTTTTCTTATTACTTGGTCTTTGTATGGTGATTAGTTTCACAATCATTTAGTTAGTTCTGCTCTCCTGCTTGTGGCCTCCTGGGTTAATTCATTTGACATCTGCTGTTGAAGAGTCTTGCACCTTCATATCCATTTATTTCAGCCTTTCTCTTGAACTTTACTCCAACTGGATTTGCCTCCCTCAAGACCCAGTCAAACATGAAGATCCAGGCATTCTGATGAGATGAAACAACTAGTGAAAGAAGAAGAAGAAGTTTGCATTGAGATCATTATTGTAGTAATGACCTACATAACAAGTTCCAAAGATATGACCTACTAAATTAATTGGAACTGATGTGTATCTGAAAGTAAGAGCTGATAAATCTGGTAGTGCTAGTGAAAGACAACACGGACAAACATGGCGCTCTGTCATGTTTGTAGTGCAATTATCGCTGGCAGTCTAGCTTCTTAATGTTATTAATGTCAGTTTTCTGTAAGACTAGATAATGTTTGATGCCTATCTATAGGAAGCGATTGAAAAAATACGGGAAATCCTGGCATCTGTTAGCTGAAAGGTGACAGGTATTCCAGAGTGATAGAGGTGCTGCTTTTCATCTGCTGTTGCTCTGGCCATAGTAAAGAGGTGTGTGTGCGTCTTACTGGCTTCTGAAACTTGACATCATCACTTTTCCACATAATCTGAATCTGTCTCAAAGAAGGAATCATCATAATCCTTCTGATGAACTGCCAGCTCATTTTACCTGGGAACAGAGTGAGCAATGCTGAGAGAGCAAACAACCAATGTCATTCATCAGGCAACACCTGCAGCTTACCCAGTTGGCCATTGCAGTCTCTGTATTTATAAAGGTAGTTTGAAACATGGGAGGTTAAAAAAGCACAAATGGAATTTGTAGCTTAAGAACAATAATGCTAAGTATTTGGATTGTTTAAAAAATTACAAATTATAGAATACACTTTCAAAGAAAAGTCTCACAGGACTTGGAAGACAGCATTTTTAGGCACCCATTCTGTACTTCTGTACCCATTTGAGCACTCTCTCTAGCTGGCAAAAACCATCTTGTTTTCGAAGAGTGGTTCTGTGACATTAAGGATTTCATTGCAGGGGATGGATGGATTGATGTATGCCCTTCTCTAGAGTTGGCATGTTAGAAGAGTATACGGTTGATATTGACCTTCCAGTTGCTATCTTAAAGACTGAATGCTATCTTCTTGATAACTTCAGCATCTAGATAGAAACAAGAGGTGATTCTGTTCAGTAGCTGGCAAAGAAAAGTAGTACACATGCATAAACTTATTCATGCTAGTGACATTTTACATTAATTTCCTCATCTCTGAGGTTTCATGCACAATTTGAGAAGTCTTTGTCACAGATCAAAAAGATCTACAGATTTTCAGCATGAGCTTTCTTTCTTTTCTTAGTTTAAACTAGTAGCCAGGACTGTTAGTAGGTGGGAGAACAGTCCTGCATCCTTACCCTCTTTATGTTGTTAGCTGATGATTAACATTCCAAGCGATGATACTCAATCCAGAAATGATACTCAAAGGAGGAAGGATAAAGGCTCCAGTAATTCCAGTAAATCTTTCAGGTGGATTATTACACAGGAACACCTCTTATAATTAGTTATTTAGAAAGGACTGTGGGGCAGCTGGGGTCACAGTATTTCTCTGTCACTGGAACTAGCAAAAAGATAGGTTCATTTTTCACAGTCACTGCTTTCTTGAGGGTTCCAGTTTCATACCACAGGTACTTCTCATGTTCTGAAATTAGGAGCTGACCCTGTTCATTTTACTGAATATATCATTAGCACTTTTAAAAATGTTGAAAATTCTTTGAATGTTAGTAGCAGTTTTATAATATCTTGTAGGCTTTATTTACTGGGGAAAAAAAAAAAAGTGTTCTCTGTATGTCAGAAATCTAGGAGATAGTAGTTAATGTGGCAGTTTCCCTAGAAAACAATTTGAATAGCTAAAATTCTGGAAACTGTGGCAATAGAGCGACTGGTTTTTGGGGTCTTTGACTATCTTCTGCTATGTCTGCCAGGTTCCTAACTAAACGAGAACAGAAGCTGATGCAGCGTCGACAGAATGCTGAAGAACTGTTGGAGTGGAAACGCCGTCTGGATGCAGAGGAAGCAGAAATACGGCAGATAGAAAAGCAGGCTTTGGCTGCCTGGGACAAAGAGCTGCTTAAAACCAAAGCGGCCAAGAAAGAACTGGGGGATCTGAGAGCTGAGCCCAAAGGTAGTAGAAATTTTGGGAGGAACTTAGGCAAATAACTCAAGTCAAGCGTAACTGGGCAGAATGATTGCTTAAGTTTGCACTTCTTTTCTGTGATCTTGTGGTGGTTCTTTTCTCACTTTCTGCAGTCTGTGACATCTTTGGCCCTGTTCTTTTTACCTCTGTTTTAAACCTTGGTCAGACGTGAATTCCAGTTTTGCTATGTATTTTCTCATGTGTTTCTACATACAATCTGAAATCCATTTCTGTTTTCTCAAAACAAAAACAGTACGTGATCTTTTGCTGATCTTATCCTGAACTTACCTTTGTTCAATAAACGTTTGAACTCTGCGACTGTGCTGTAGTATGCTAGGATGTAGTTAGTACAAATAGTGCTACTCTGAGAAAACAGGTTCCCAAATTTTAGGGGCTTCAGTCTTATCACTCTGTCTTAAGTGGAATGTACTTTGAGCACGGACCACAGAAAATTGTATTGCAATGGGAGAAAGTAATGAAACTTCAGGGACTGTTCTCAAAATAATATTTTTTCCTCCCACCGTTGAAAGGGGGTGATAGATTCACTGAAGGTCCAAAGGGAATTTAGAATGATGTCCTATCACACTTGTCACCGAAAAGCCTCGTGGATCTTAGGCGTGTGGAAAACACTTTAAAGATGTTGTGTGTGCAAGCCACGACGTTCCAGCAAGAGAAAATTCAGCATGCTAAACACAGAGACGCGGATGAGAAAATACATTTACTTTCTGTTAATTGTGTCTACCAGTGAGCACTGGAGCACGGCCCTGCTTTGGAAGAAGTTCTTCTCCCTAGCCTTTGCTCAAATATTAAATAGTTCTTCATGGCTGCTTCCATAATGCTGTGACTCCTGCGGAATTTAGTAAACAGGAATATTGAAAACCCAACTTATTATTTTACTTGTTGCCATTTGAGAGACTCATGATGAAATCATAACATTAAAATGTTCTCTGCAACGGCTGTAAAGGAAGCAATCAATTCTAAATTCAAGATCTGACTTGTAGATTATGTGCTCCACCATGACTTCTTCAGACTAATAGTGACTCTTGCTGTTGCATGGCTAACTGGAAGGACAGGTTTCCCTAATAATCTTTCTGGAGTATGTTGTCTGGAAAATGTTATAATATTTTGAGGAGTTTTTTTGGTTTTGACATTTGGCAGTCACTAAGACTAAGTAGTCTTAAATCATAGTTCCCTGGAAAACATCCGTTTTTCATACTAGGTATTTCAAAGTCAATTTCTAGATAAGTGACTAATGCATACCCATTTGACTTACACTGATAGCAGTTACTACTTTGTATGCAGACAGTGATTACTCTGAAGGCATCTAAGCCAGTGAAGATTCTTATGTGGTTTCTTTTTTCTCATTATTCAATCTCAGAAACAGCCAGTGAAGAAGAGTCTCCAGTGCCTTCTTGCTCTTGTGTGAACAGTGAAAGCTCAGTCCCAGAAGAGCTTGGCAGTCCAGCTGCAGAATCCGTCCCATCAGCGACGATGGGCCATGGACAGCCAGAAAGCCCAGATCGGAGTGCAGTTAATGAAGACATTATTTATTCTGAAGACTTCAAGTCTTCTACCTCACCTGACAAACTTGTGAGTGAGCTTTTTATGCTACATAAATTCTTAGATTTCTAAAAGGGGAAGACGAGTAATAGTCTTTCCAATTGCTGAAACAGAGGTTAAACTGTGGTATGTAATACCACTGTATGTTATTAGGATAAACATTGTGATCAGTTACGTTCTTCAAAGTCTTGATGAAAAATTGCTTGAACACAGAGTTTCAGTGTTTTTAAATCCGTAGGTAGTCTTGCAAAATGTTCTGCGTGTGTCACGTAGGTATGCAGTATTAAGTGGCGGAACACTGACCCAGTTAAACAATGTGTATTAGCTGTAGGCGAGCTTGTCACCATTGTATGAATTCTTTGAGGCTGAGGAAACTATGCCATGTTCTTCTGCCTTGCTTTATTTGCATATTTCCCAAAGTATAGCTATAGGATGAGGAAACATAGCTGTAATCTGGTACACAGTCCCTTGAGTTTCAGATTATAACTGCTTTCTAGTTCATACAGCCTTATTGTTCTGTTTCAGTAGTTACTCCTGCTTGGTTGACAGTTTTGGTACATTTTGTCCTGACAACTTTGCTTTGCACTGAATCAGAGAGACCAAAAATGCACTTTGTGGAAAGTCAGAAGAACTGCCATTACAGACACTTTCTTCTTGTAAAGTTTCCTGAGAATATATTACAGTAAAATGTCAGATACGCACTAGAGGTCATGATTGAGATGTGTGAAAAGTTTGTAGCATGACACTGAAGCAGTAAGCGGAGTTTTGGAAGAATAATTGCTCTTAGAATTTTTTGCGTGCCTACAGAGAAACAGGGCTCCTCTTGAGTGATTTAGAATGGCATCTCTCACCTCTTGTATGAAATTGTCCTTTTGGATTTGCAGGTATATTTAGTAGGTGTTCCCTTGAGTGTTACCTGTGAGTACAGATGTATTGAACACCTCTGAGTCACAGCCATGTCTGTTTACCTAAGTAGCAAGAAGGTAGTCTGAGCACGTTTATTGAAGTCCAGCCTCAAAGTAAGCAGTCCATTGTTGCTACTGCTGGTATTTTTGCTTTATTATTATTTTGACAAGCTAAGATAAAAGTTGTCTTAAGACAGCTGGATAGGTAACTTTGCTTATGAGGTGTTCTGTGGTCATGCCAGTCTCTCCTTGTAACTAGCTCCTGATGGCAGTGATCTGCTACTTTGAGATTGAGCTTTACAAGCAGTTACTCATTTGTCCTTTTCTTCTCACACAGACTCCTCCCAAAAGCAGCATATCTGTATCAAGGCAAGATTCCAGCAAAGGCAGCCATAGATCTGGGGGACAGCTCCGTTCTCCTGTGAAGTCTCATCAGATATCTCACAATTGGTCTGATGAGTCTTTATCTATGACACAGTCAGGTAAGTATTTGCTTGGATTTAAATTGCTGTTTCAAAGCTAGTCATTTTAATAAGTAAATTTGCAAAGCAGACCTAGATATGATAAGGCAAGCAAATTCCTGCAAAATACTGGGTTTTGAAGTTCTGTGGGAGTATTTTCCCATGATGTAATTTGATCAATTCAGCATAAGAAGGCCTTTGCACAGATTCCTGCAAACAGTTGAAGAAGAGTCAATAGTTAATATGTCTAGAACTTAAAAGTACCAAGGTTGGCTGTGTGTTTAATAGACTACACTTCTCTGTTCTGCTTGTTTTAAGAAAGCAGAATATGGTTCAGCAGCATATGAACATGATTGTCTTCCTTCTGAACACAGCATGGCTTCAGAAGACACACAGCCCTGTTTATCATGGCAGTGCAAGTGAGCCCACTGGACCTGCACTGACATGTGCATGGTGGTTGGACATTTCATGGCATATCCAGAATGACTTTTTTTGTGGAGGAGTTTGAATTGTGTGCAGTAAAATGTGGCCTAAAGTTGTGTTTTGAGCTACAAGCATAAGATCTACTACATAGACTCCTATAAAAAGTATTCTAACCCAATGTCCAAGTGGGCTACCAGTAAATACATGGAGAGAGTATATACAAAATGAACTGGCACAGAGCCGTCCTTTCCCTGATGTGCTCTTGCGGTCTGTTAGTCATATAGACTTCATGAGCAGCCACAATCTGTGAGGTCACCATCATAAGCTCCATTGATCTGTGAAGACAGTTCTGATCGTTTCTCTGCTTTTAGTCTCTGAATGATCTTGTACTCCACAGTGCAGTTGTTACAGCATCCCAAATGCACTTCCTATTGGCAAATAAGGTAGCATTTTCCTGCATATTTTTGTTTTCTTTTAATTCCTTGAGTGAATGGTAAGTTTTTAGTGGAAGAAAAATAAGGCGGTTCTTTCTGTTGTATGTCCTGGCTGTTGTTTGGCTGGCAGATAGCTTCACTTGCATACTTAAATCTCTGGTCTTCGTAGTGCTTAGTGTGGCAAGCTTAATAATCCTTTCTGCTGTTTTTAGATTAATATGTATGCAAGTGCAGTAGTAATAATTTTAAAGCAGATATTCTGCTGGATGTAGAAATGAATACATACTCACTTAGATACTGAGTAATTTTTGTTTGCATTCTGGAGCACAGTTTGCAACCCAGTGAAGCATTCAGCAAATTGATAAACCTATGATCAAGTTCTGACTGACGAACCATATAAGGAAGCCATTATGAACAGTAGAACAGGCAACAGTGGTCATGGTCATGAAAATGAAGTCTTTGATTTCAAGTGCCAGAGACAGATGGAAAAAGGGGGAATTCCATCAAGGTGGTGCTGGTTTCATAATCATTCAATTGAAAAGAGGCAAATCTTCCAAGCTGCTGAGTAGTAGTGATGTCATTGCTATGTCCTGATGCATGCAAAGACAAGTTCGTCAAAGATGAAAGCATGCACCAGTTTTTTCTTTAATGAGTTGATCAATAAAAGCTATAATTACATAATGGTCACTTAGCATTCAGGAGGAGTTAAGTACAGTGGCATCATAAAGTACTTACGATTAGCAAGTGAGATTCCATTCTTTTCATGCCTTTTTTTTTATTATTATTCTGTAAATGCTACCAACAGTTGTTAGTGGAAAAAGAGTATAGTAGTGTGTATTTGCTGGATGTTGATGAAGTCCTTCTTTATTGTTGTCCTGTGAAATGGAGTTGATTAGCAAAATGTGCTGACCAGCTGGTATGGATAACTTATTTTCCTAGTGCCTTCAGTAGAGCAGTTGGGAGTTCATGAGCATCCAAGCCTCTTGTCTAGAAAACAGCATAGGTAATATCAAACGTTGGAAAAGCAGACCAGCCTAAAGCCTTCTGTTTGGAACTGCTGCTCTAGGTAGAAGTTGAGAGAGGGCATGGTAGAATGTGGTTATTCTGCAGTGAATCTAATCAACTGCAAAGTGTTCCATGCGAACAGAGGCAGAAAACCGTCAATGGCATTGAAGACCAGACTGCAGGGGATGGAGAGGAAAATGATTAAGAAATGTTAGGTAGAACATAGCTGTAGTCAGTAATGGCATCTTAGGAAAGTCTGTGAAGTTGAACTTGGAGCGAGGATGTGCCTCATAGCTTTGTGTAAGCAGTTGCTGAGTAGTCCACTGTGTGCCTAAGCTCACTTCTAGTCGCTTCACTCTGAATAATATGTCACTCTGAGGCCTGACAACAGTGAAATCTGTGTTGTTCGAGTTGGCTTTCCTTCCAGCTGTCAACCACTCAGCTTTCCTCTTCACAGATGTACTAACAAAGTGTACCTTGTAGCTTGAAATTTTGCATAGCAATTTTAAACATGCATTTCAGATATGTTTTTGGTATGCATCATTGGGTTATATTTTTAATGTGTCAGCAAATTTTAATGTCTGCAATAAGCTGTTAATGAGATAGCCATGAATGTGGGAGACAAATATGTGAACCAGTTTGCTAGCAAGTTATTACACATATCAGAACATCTTTCTTGTCTAAAATAAGATGCAGTGCTTTTTCTTTCCTGTGTTGTACAGCAGTGTTGTGAATCTAAGAATCCCCTTGGAGCCCTACTATGTTGAAATCAACATAATTTCTTTGCTGTTTCACTTGGGTTATCTTTTATATTTACTCTATGACTACTGATTGTTTTACATGGGACTGTTTTTTAATAGGCAAGCTATTTAAAGACTAAAACTGAACTTTTTCAGAAACAACTTCTGATCAAAGTGATATTGAAGGACGGATCAGAGCCCTGAAGGATGAACTACGGAAAAGGAAGTCTGTGGTTTACCAGCTGAAAAAGGAACAGAAAAAGAGGCAAAAGGAAAGACTGAAAGCACAGGAGGCCAGTCTGATCAAACAACTGGAGGTTAGGAATAGTAGAAGAAGGGCAAAATGAAAGCCAAGGCTGTTAGCTGTGAATAAATCATTATTATATGGATATTGTTGGCTGTTGTGTGAACGGCTGTGAAAGACACGTTACTGCAATGGAGACATGGCTGAGCTTTGGCTGATCAACAGTTTTCAGTAATGAACCATTGTCTTTGAAGCAAGACCGTGCGCTTTGAAATGTGTGTCTGTAAGGAGTTTTAGACAGTATTCAGGAGGGAACACATTAGTATCTCAGCTTGGGTTGCTCGTGAGTGTTGCTCATGTAATTTGACTTTGAAAGTGGGTTTCACAGCTATGGAGCTTTAGGAAGTTAAGTAGATTGCTTTATAGACAAACTGTGTGTCCTTAAGCATTTGAGACTGAGAATTATTTATTTGATAAGTTTTGTTTACAGAATGGTCGTTATGGTTTAGTCCTTTAACAGCCATAACTGTTTCTCTTGCTCAGTCATATGATGAGTTTATCAAGAAGACTGAAGCAGAGCTGAGCCAAGATCTGGAGGCATCACCCACAGCCAAACCTCAGATTAAAACTCCATCCTCTGCTGCTGCTGAAAAACCTAAGATCAAGGCACCACCACTCCATAGGTAAATGGGATTTCTTCTTTCTGAGATTATTCTGAAACCAATAGAGTGCTGCTAAAGCAGAAATCATCTGTGCAAGGAAAGCACTTCCACAGTGCTCTTCCTCAAACACTGGATTATGGCAGTGTACTGCCGACACATGTACTGATCACATCAGACCTAAAGCAGTTAAGATGCACTGTCCCTGTAATCATATCTCATTTCTGTCCTGCCCAGCCTCTCAGGTCCTAGTTCCAAGTTCTTTCTGAGTAACAGTTTTTCATGGAGTGAGCATTTGCAAAGTGGTTGTTTGAATTACTTAGCTAAACCGTTCGTCTTTGCAGCTTAATCTTGGTTGGGATCTTATGTTTTAAAAGGCAGATTCCATTGACTTCACTTCCTACAATATTTTAAGTGCTTCATTTTCTCCAGCAGATGGTGCAATTTTAGCTCATTTTTTTCTTTAAAAAAAAAAAAAAAAAAGAGTTTAGTTTCAGTAGTGTGGTACTGGATGCTTGTATTTCTATTTTTATTTGTTAAAAACAACAACCAAAAAACCTCAGTTCACTCAGTTTAATTTTTCAAATTTAGGCCAGAGACAGCTAAAAACTGGAAATCACTGACTGAATCAGAGAGATCAAGAGCATCTTTGGAATCCATTGCAGAGCACGGAGGTATGTAATGGAAAAATCAGTTCTACAGTAAAGATCTCGAAGCCTGACTATTTTAAACTTCTTTAATATTTTACTTCTTGATTCAGGAAGGGGCTCTAAGAGAACGTGCAAGCTTCATAAAACCATAATGATGAAGCTGCATTTTCCATGTTTTGCTTTTCCATGTTTTTGCTTTTTTGAGAGTAGATTTTCTTTAATTATGGCTTCCCCGTTGCTCCCCTGCTCACCTATTCTGAAACCCCATAGTATTTGAGTTCTGTATTTTAAAGGAATCATCTCATTTAAAAAAGAAAAAAATGTTGATGGGAGATGATGTCCTCTTCAAAAGCTAAAACCACTCTGTTGTACATCATATATTGCTACATTGGTTGTGCACTATAAATAGCTACGTTTTTTTTTGTTGCTTTGTTATTTGTATTTAGTAGGCTTCTGCTTTTGCTGTTTCCTGAATGCTCAGTATTTAGTTTATTCTTGCTGAGGTTCTTGTAAAACTGTAATTATGTGGCAGCCTTTTTCCTTTTGCTTAGTTCCCTGTTCCTCTGTCACTTGAGGAAAATAAGGAAATAAAAATGACGGCTTGAGAAGTAGTTGTTTAAGAACAGGTTTCTTTGAGATACTTTTCAGTGTTTTGCTGCCTGTCATTAGATAATTGCTGTATGCAATTCAAATCTTCATTGTTTTTATAGAATTGTAGAATGGTCTGGGTTGGAAGGAACCTTTAAAAAATCATCTAGTTCCAATATCCCTGCCATGGGCAGGAATGTTTTCTATTGGATCACATTGCACAGCCCTCACTGTGGGCTCTGTATCGTATGGTGTTACGCCAATACAAGGAACAGCATTAGGAAAACAAAGTGGGAGAACCTTGGAACTGGATGAATGTTGCCCATATTCATAGGCCAGGTAGAAATACCTGTTTCCAAAACATCATTTTGTATTTTTTAGGGTGGAAATCTTGATGTTTAACTTTGTTGCCTATGGTTGTGGTCTTCACTAAGATAATGTGGGCTGTATCGCATGTTGTGATTCATTTTCTGTTTTCCTTCAAGATGTTGTATCATCAAAAACTGAGAGATCTGTGTCTTTGCACACTAAGAAGGAGGCTGTGACAGATGTTCATGCAGAAGAACCTTCTGGAACATCTTCGTCAGTTTCAATGCCACCAAGTAGTTCCAGAGCAGGATTTGGTGATTCCCTAGAGAAGGTGTCCTCATCATCTCCTCTCAAAGACATAAAAGACATAAGCAAGATATCCCATGGGTCAGTAAGCACTGTGGAAAGTGTATCCAAGGAGGAGGCTGTCCTCAGTCACAAATCTGAGATATCGGAGAACTTGGAATACATAAAATCAGAGGAAAATGAGCTTGAAGATTCTCATGTTAAGTCTCTGGAACATTCAGATGTCTTGTTAACATTAGATAAAAAACAGGAGAGATCACTGGACATCCTTCCAGAGAAAATCCTCCATTCCGAAAACGAACCTTCTCTAAAGGAACCTTTTTGTTTGACTGTGGAAAGCCTTCATGGTGGGAAAGAAATCTTAGAAGAGAGACTGGCAGACAAAGATGCTGCAACTGTCCCAAGCGTAGAAGAATCTTCTCACAAACTGAGCATATCAGCAGAAGAAAAAGATAATCTGCTTTCAAAGCATTTGTGTATTCAAAAGGAGTCATCATACATTGAAGACTTTGAAGGATCCTCTTCCAGGAAACAGCCATCAATTGAAGAAGCACTTGCTGTGGAAGAATACGAAGATGATTTTGAAGCCTCTCTTTCATCTCAGGGGGGTCAAGGGGACTCTCAGTCACTGCAAGAGCAGTCCCTGCTCACACAAACCAGCAGAAGCAGATCCACCAGCAGAAGCAGATCCACCAGCCTTGGCAGCGATGATGAAATCAGTGAATGCCTCAGTGACAGATCTCTCTCTCTCTCTGGCAGCGTGCATTCAGAGAGGTTATTAGAACTTAAGTCCCCGACAGAACTTACAAAAAATACTGAATGCAGAGATGCGGAGAAAGATCAAGCTGCTGTTCAGTCACCACCATGGCCCTCTGTTTCAGTGACAGAAGAAATTGATAGTTTGCCAAACTTCAGCATAGATGATAGGGTCCTTGTAAGTAAAGTCCAACCTGGAACACTGCGATTCAGAGGTGTGACTGAGTTTGCCAAAGGGATTCGGGCTGGTGTGGAGTTGGATAAGCCTGAAGGGAATAACGGTGGAACTTACGATGGTGTTAAATATTTTGATTGCAAAGAAAAACATGGTATTTTTGCTCTTCCCCAAAAAATGTCTCACATTACAGAAAGTATTGATAGCCATTTAGATGCACATGAGTACGAAGACTCATCCTTTGATGATAGACTGGAGAAGAAAGGTAAAAATGAGCAGAAAGACAAAGGAATTTCCAAAACTAGCAAGGAAGATGAAAGCCAAAGTAGAGATGCAACAGAGACCTCTTCTCAAGGTAAAGCTGCTGCAGACACAGCTGTTTCAGAAACCTCAGCTGGAAAAAACATTGATGAGGTCTCATTTTCCAAAGCAAATGGCATAAGGATTTCTGTAGCTGCCAAATCCTTTGCCCAAGAGCAGTCTGTGGTGGCTTATCTGAAGCATGCTGTAACAGAGGAAACCAGCCTTACTCCTCCCATTTTTGATGTCACAGATAAGTTTTCCAGCGTTCAGTTGGATGACATCTCAGATTTCTTTTCTGAAAAGTTGGAGAGACAGAAAACACTGGGGGAAGAATGTTGTGAGAAGTTAAATGATCTCTCTCCTGGAGTTGTGGAGAAGCCTGCAACTCCGCTTCTGGATTTGCTGACAAAAGAAAAGAATCAATTAGAAGCTCAGCTTAAAATACCATTTGAAGAGGAAGAAAAATCCAAAAACCAACTGGAAAAGGTCAGTTTGCTCACAGACAGTCTGCTTAAAGATTTTGTGAAAGATACAGTCGACCAGTTACAGCAAATAAAGAAGATCAGGAATGAGAAAATCCAGCTCAGCAACCAGGAGCTCTGTGATGCAAAGGTGCACTGCAGTACCCCATTCCAGGAGGTAGAAGAGCAGATTTCTGATGGACTGGACAATTTTTTTCTAAGTTCGGACTTGGAAGATGACAGAGAAGAACTTTCTTCCCCAGACATGTGCCCCAGACCAGTAAGTAACAGACATCTTGCTCTGATTTTAAGAGCTGGTGATTCCTTTGATTATAGAATCTGAAGAATGGCAGTGTGGCAGCAGTTTGTTTTCTCACAATTTCTGTTCACTGATGTGATGATTGTTTGTATGTCTGTGTAATGCATGTTTTGGTGTTTCAAGGTTCACAACTCACTTTAGTATCCCCACAGGCTTGAAGGCAGATTTTGGCACATGAAAGTGAAAAACACGTCATTTAGATTGCATTCTGCTTATGTGTTTCATTTTCAAGTTGTTACCCTTGGTCTTAATTCTAAAGAAGTCAACATACTGTAGATTGTAAACTTACTTTTCTCTATTCTTGGTATGAAGTAATCATCCTGTAAAAGAATTGGTTCTTTTATAGATCATTAAATTGTCAGACTGCTCTATCTGCAGAACTAATATATCACGAGCAGTGGAAGTTCAAGCTACCTCGGAACAACCATTAATGAAACAGATTTAGGACTTGGCCTCTGCTGGAGATCCTAGTAAACCTGTCTCAATATATTATCACAGAAAGCTTCAGCTCATTTCACCATTGTGAGCACTGCTCAGTCACTAGAACAGCCATCACCTGCTAAAAGCTTTTAGGTTGTTAATGTAGATCTGAGAGCGCTGGTAAGCGAAGTAAAAAGTTGTATGTCACATTATCACTTTTTAAACTACTCAGCCTTTCATAAACAGATGAACATGAAGACAGACGGTGGGCCAGGAACACAACTGTAAGTAAGCTCTTTGGTAGCCTTCTGAAAGCATTCATCAGGAATGATAGAGGACCCGCGCATTTTAGTTGAAGCATCTGGAACTTCCCTGTGGGTTGTTTGTTGTTGCTGGGAGAATTTAAGAGTAGTTGTGTACGTATAACCTATCAGTAAAGTGTTTGAAAATCCAAGCTGAATATCTGATAGACAAGAATGTGATGCTGCTTTTAAATTTACTCTCCTGCAATTTACAGGAGAGCCCGGTGTTTGGTGCCAGTGGTCAGGAAGAGCTTGCCAAGAGGCTGGCGGAGCTGGAGCTCAATCGCGAGTTCCTGAGTGTGCTGGGAGATGAACAAGACTGGTTTGATGAAGACTATGGCCTAAGTTCCCGTAAGGTCCAGCAGAAGCAAGCCGAGGAACCAGCGGTGCTGCCCAAGGTAAAACCAGAGAAAGTTCCACCAAAGCCATGCGAGGAGCTTTTGGCAGTTCCTCATACTGCGGTTGAGGTGGAAAGTTTGGTGCATGCAGCAGCTGAAGAACTCTGGAAACTGAAAGAGCTGGGTCACGATCTTCAAAGTTTCAGCTTTCACACTGACTTTACCACTACCATCAAAGACTCGATAAACAAGCAGGTCTATAAAAAGGTACGGTCTTCAGGTGTTTTGCTTTTGTCCTTTGAATTGTTACTGTGAAGCACGGAAGCCTTAATTCTTATTTCTTCTCTGTTAAGGTGGTATTTGATTTAACAAAAGAGATCTTTGGGGAAATCTTTGCTGAGGATCCTAATCTTAATCAACCTATTTGGATGAAACCATATCGGAATGCGTCTGCTTACTTTCGCCGAGTGAAGGATCCAAATGATTTGGATGAGATCAAGGTAGGAAGAAATCCTTGTCATACAGGGAAGATGAGGTGGAAAATAGTGTATTGACAATTGCCTGATAGTAAAAATAAAGTCATAAGGGGTACGGACCATAGAAGATGTATTGAGAAGATAAATTAGATTACAGACCTGTAAGAGTTTGTCAGAATGGTCTGTTTCACTCAAAAGATTTGCCTCCCAGTCTTCTTGGCTGATACTAGCTGCTTTTAAACTACAGCCCTCGACTGATAGGGTGTCCTTGGTCTTACAAAGCTGGTATGCTCACAGATTGCTGCTTTAGCAGATTTCAGTGGAACGCTGTATTTTGGGGATAATGGCATGGATCCAACTGTAGGGTTGGGCCAAATGGGATGAGCTGGATTACTACTCTTTTCCTTTACTGAGATGTACCTGTGCCAACCTCATTGAGGACCGTGGAGTTGCCCAAGTTAATCCAAAATATAACTGGTGAGAGCGTTGCGGTATTTGGTAAGCCTCTTGAGGTCTCCTGTTGCTGGTAGGAGTGCTCAGCAAAAGGACAGAACCTCAAAAAGGCAGAGCCAGACTAGGACAAAATTGAATTTGTAGGGCAGCTTGTTAGGAAGACGCTCATCAGGACATAAATGAATACTATACTGTTTCTTCTGATTTTTTTTTTTTATTTTTTTTTTACTGTATTTTGATTATTTGTCTGCAGATAAAGCATGTTAACTCTCTATAAAGTTCAAAGTAGTATCTAGATCAACTTCTTAGTTGAGAATACTTTCAAAAAGCATATCTCAGAGGAGAGAAGGGACACAGGACAGGGACACCGAACTCCCGCTCTACTTTTCTTCAATATCTTCCTGCTAAATGAATGGTCATAATCTCCTGTTTACTGTACAGTTTAATTGAAAGTTCTTCTCAAGACTGCTGTCTCAGAAGTGGGTGTCATTTTTTTTTTCCCACTGCTGAATTTAATAACTGTTGCCTATGTAAGTCTGCCTCAAAGACTTTGCTGTAACTTTCTTGGTCCATCGTATGTCTTTTGACTAAACAGAAGCTTGCTGTGCTTTCTATCTTGACTTAGGGTAAGTACTTTGAGCTAAGAAATGACAACTACACACAAATGTTATTAAAACTCATCTTTTTTGTTCTGTAGAACTTCATTGCAGCTGAAGTACTGAAGCTTTTTAGTCTAAACAAAGAGCCTAATAACAAAACAGACTGGCAGAAGATGATTAAATTTGGGCGGAAGAAACGAGACAGAGTGGATCATATATTGGTGAGTGGATAAAAAAAAGCAGTCGTGTCCGATGCGGTCCCTCAGACTGAAGTATGACATGATCATATTTTTCAGATTTGATCATACTATTTTTGGAATGCAGAGTATGCAGGAGATCTTGATAGGTGTTTAATTTTAGAGAGCACAGTGTTGTCAAAACAAAGTAAACCAAAAATCAAGTCTGTTACCAATGAAGCGAGGAGACTTGAATGAATTCAGTTCAGGTTTACTGGATTTGGCTGGAGGATAGATTTGTGCACTGACAGAGGTTTAAGGCGTGAATTTGCATTGGAATAGTTGACTGAAAGGAGAGCAAACTTTTTCTTTGGGAAGGAGATATGGTTTTTTTTGTGTTGGTTTTTTTTCCCAGTTTTAAATGTTTTTATTTTGAAGTAATGTTGTTTTTATTGGAGGCAGAGATACTGAGATCATAATAGACATGATTGCTAACCAGATTGAGCAGAAAAATCTTTAGGTTAGAAGAAAGATTTCCATGAGATGGTGTGGGACGTGATGCTTCCTTCATACAGGACAACCAACCTGCCAGGTGGTACCCAAAGTTAAGCACTTCCTCAAAGCTAAGCAATGAACATGAGTTCTGCTCCTGTACCACTTGACATAACTGATGAATGCATCTGCAACTGGGCAGAGACTTAGAAACGAAGTGTTAAAACTGTGTAAGATGGAGCATATCTGGTGTGTACTAGTTTTGGAAGGTTACTTGTTGGCTTGTATTGCAGGATGATTAACATCTTTATTGGCTGTAATGATGGTGAAGGTTCTGCTTGGGAATATGAGTTGTCATTAACATCATGCTTCACTTAATTATACCTGAAATTGATTCCACACACGTGCACACATAAGTAACTTCAGGTCATGGGTAGTGTGGTCTTTTAATTGCCCATCAGTGGAAGGTTTCCAAAACAGGCTTTTTCTATAGGGAGAATGTGGAATGTATGTAAATAAAACGTTTAGGTGTAGGACCTGCATATCTTAGTACTCTTGATTCTGACTTATAGAAGCTGTTCATAATGTGTACAAAAAAGTCCTATGCTTAGATCCAGAGAAGAGTTAATAGTTCAACCATCATGCTTGTGTACAGATTTAAGACATGCTCTTAATTTCTTTGAGTCACACCTAGAAAGAAAGTTTCCTAAGTGGGAAAAATCCTTCCAGTTGAAGGCATCCAAAGTACTTTAGGTGGGATAAGTTGGAAGTTCAGACAGTCTGGTGTGTGAATTACATGTGTGATGTCTGTGGCCCAGACATCAGAGATTAATAGCACTCTGGCAGTTTTGGCTTAATAAATAATCTGTTTAATTTTATTTTGTTCTCACAAGTGCATGGTAATAAAATTTTAGCTGAAAGCTGGAAGTAACTGAAGATTGCAGCTTACCATGCTTTAGGATTAAGGCAGCCTCAGGGGCATTGCTACCAAAGCCATACTGTAATGCTGCTGCTATCAGAGAATCTTGTCACTAAAAACCTAAGGACACAGTATTTGGTTTCTTTTATTCTGTTTTATTAATATTTCTATAAAATATGAACTACTTGAATAGCTTTCCTCTGTCCCCTAGTCAGCCTTCAACTTGTGCTTAAGGTCATGAATTCTGTGGTAACACAAATGCGAGGCCATAACTGGATATACAGGTCTGTAAAAGGTCTGCAGCCTGTCTGCTAGTAACTCAGTGCAGCTCTGAGCAGAGGATCCAGTTGTGGAGTTTCACACGCATTGTTTGAAATGTATTCAAATAGTACAACACAATGATTTTCTGAAAAAGAAATCAAGATTTTTGGTAGGCTTAAGTATAGTAGAAACTTCTTTAGAAATGACAGCTGAAAATGCTTTCTTTGTTGAATTTAGGAGACCTGCATCCCTTTCAGTGTGCAGAATCTGCCACGTGATTGCCTGTAAGAGCTGACTGATTCTCCGTGTTCTTTTGCTGCTTATTAAGACAAAGATTATTAAAAATAAAAGGTGTTCTTCTTTTCAAAGAAAACGTAAACTTTATTTGTCTTCTATTACTTGCATTTAAACTTTGAGCACAAGTCCTTCCCAGTTTCTTCTTTCAACTAAAAGTAATTTTCAGAGGAAAACAGCTTTTTACAATTCTTACTGAGACAAGTACGTATTTGAGTGACTGAGAGGAGTGAATGCATCTGATGGCCAGTATGGACACACAGCCAACTGCCCCAGGAGCACAGTACAATTAATGCAGGGGTTTTGGTTCTGAGGAAGAAGAGTTTGTTGCACACCAGTTTCTCCAGTACAGCAGCAAAGGCTCTCAAATAGCTGTCTGCCATCACAGGTGGCTCTAAAACCTAAAGCCAGGTCTGTTTGCTGAACAGCCTTTTGCTTCTTCTGAAGACACTGAGCAAGCACCAGGCTATTTTGCCTGGTTTAATCTCTCCCTGGTTATTCTTGGAGGTGTCCCTGGTTTATCACACTGAACCCATTTCCTGATAATGCCTGGCTCCAGCGAAGTTCAGCCCTGTGGTAGTGGCACAGCAGTTTGAAAAGCACATGTTCTGGATGGGCCCTGGGAAGCAGGGTGGATCAGCCACTGCGCAGCCAAGAATCGAGGGGAGAACTGGATAGATGAGCAACTTCCACCAGCAACTGCATCCCACTTTCATCTGCCATTTCCCACAGCAAAATAGTTATCACTTCTTTTCTGCCACCAACAAAAGCCACTGTGCTTTTCTCCTTTTTTGCAGCATTAACTTTGATCAGGCTGGCAGATCTTTAAGGAGTCTGTATTTAGAGCACAAAAGCTCTTCATTACCATGTGTAGCAAGTCAGGAAGGGAAGGCAGAAGACCGGCATGGTTGAGCTGGGACCTGCTGGTCAAGCTGAAGAGCAAGAAGAAAATGCATAGGCAGAGGAAACAGGAATAGGCACCATGGGAAGACTTTAAGGAAGCTGCTAGGCTGTGTAGGGTCGGGGTCAGGAAAGCCAAGGCCCAGCTTAAACTGAACTTGGATGGAGATGCCAGAAAGAACAAGAAAGGCTTCTACAGGTGCCTCAGCCAGAAAAAGGAAAGTTCAAGAGGGAATATCCCCCATAGTGAGTGACATGGGCAAGCTGGTAACATCACACGAGGAGAAGGCTGAAGTACTTAAGTTTTCTTTTTTTTATCTTCCCTGATAACTGCTTGCCACACATCCCTCAAAAGTTTGGTTTGGTAGGAGGGGATTGGGGAAGCAACATCCCTCCCACTGTAAGCGAAGATCAGGTTTGTGACCCCCTGAGGAACCTGAACACCCACACATCTATGGGTCCCGATGAGATGCAGCCCAGAGTCCTAAGGGAATTGGCTGATGTAGTCACCATGCCTCTTTCAGTGATATCTGAAAAGTGGTAGCCATCAGGTGAAGTCCCTGGTGAGTGGAAAAAAGGTAACATCACACCCATTTTCAAGAAGGATAAAAAAGAATACTCCGGGAACTGCCAACCTGTCAGCCTAACCTCTGTGCCAGGGAAAACAGTGGAACAGATCCTCCTGGAAGCTATGCTAAGGCACATGGAAGCAGGAAGGTGACAGGGGAGAAGCAGCATGGCTTCACCAAGGGCAAATCCTGCTTGGTGTCACTGCATCAGTGGACAAGGGAAGAGCCATGGATATCATCTATATCCATGAGCAGTGTCCCCCAGGGGTCAGTGCTGGGCTGACACTATTTAGTATCTCCATCAATGACAAGGACAGTGGAGTGAAGTGCACCCTCAGCGTTTGCTGGTGACACCAAGCTATGGGGGGGATGCCATCCAGAGGGACCTTGATAGGCTGAGCAGTGGGTCCAGGAGAACCTCATGAGGTTCAACAAATCCAACTGCAAGGTCTTGCACCTGGGTGGAGGTGCAACCCTCACTACCAATACAAACGGGGATGAAAGGATTGAGCACAGCCCTGCTGAAAAAGGCCTGGAGGTACTGGTAGATGGCAAGGTGGACATGAGCCAGCAGTGTGCCCTTGCAGCCCAGAAAGCCAACCATATCCTGGGCTGCATCAAAAGAAGCGTGGCCAGCAGGGCAAGGGAGGTGATCCTGCCCATCTACTCTGTGCTGGTGAAGCCTCACCTGGAGTACTGACTGCATTCAGATGTGGAGTCCTCAGTACAGGAGAAACACCAGGCTGCTGGAGAAAGACCACAAAAATGATCCACAGGATGGAACACCTCTCCTATGACAACAGGCTGAGAGAGCTGGGACTGTTCAGCATGGAGAAGAGAAGGCTGCAAGGTGATCTGATAGCGTATCTAAAGGGGAGCTACTGGAAAGAAGGGTTTAGCAGGGTCTGTGGTGATAGAGCACGGGGAAATGGTTTCAAGCTCAAAGAGATTAAGGTTGGATGTAAGAAAAAAAAATTTTATAGTGACAGGCACTGGAACAGGTTGCCCAGAAATGTGGTTGGTGCCCCATCCCTGGAGACTTTCAAGGCCAGGCTGGATCAGGCCCTGGGCAACCTGATGGAGCTGTGGTGTCCCTGTTCATTGCAGGGGAGTTGGATTAAATGGTCCCCATGGGTCTGTTCCAACTCCAAAGATTTTATGATTCGATCTATCTCCAGAATTTGTAATAGCATTTGTTACAAGCATTTTCTGGTCTGCAGGACAGTTGCTCAGCTATTAACATTTACAGTGAACCTTCACTTTCAGTGAACAAGCACAGGAACTTCACTTTTATGAAAAATGACTTAGTTTCAAATCAAGTTAAGGAATGTTTAGATGTTTGGTTATTTTTCTTCTCGTGTCCCTTTCATATTGCCAGCTTTGTCTTGTGTATTCTATCTGTGATCCATGGGAGAATCTTAAACGTGTACCTAGGCAGAAGTGCCACGTTTGGGTGTGCATCAGTACTTCCTACACCTTTCAAAACCTTTTTTAGTACATAGTGAGAACCCTCAGTCCTCTTTATTTAAGTTCAGGTGCTAACAATAGGCTGTTTTCACTCCTCTTTTTCCACTTGGGTCTTCAGCCAAAACTCTCTGCCAGTTTGTTTG